TATATTTTTTCTTATATTATTATAAAAATGGAAAATAAAAATTTAAATCCTCATAGAGAATTCACAAAACTTCGATGAACACCTGTTTAATTTGATAAACTTCCCTTTTTGAATCTGAGAGAAACAGGGGAAAGAACCAAACAAACTAACAAACAATGAAATTATCAATTTATACTTCCTGAGCAACCATCTTCCCATCACCTACTGGAGGTTGCCGTTAAGCTGAACCACTCTCACTTGAAATTTACAGGCGTCCACAATCAGAATTATTCTCCCACTAACCTCCCCAGACTTGTTTCCCTTCAACTTCCCTATTTTTTGTCCATATCATCTCCATTCACCAGAGTAAAAAATCTCCCTCTGACTTTACTTTAGTCCAGTGCCTATAACAGCTACCAGGTCCTAACCATTGTTTGTTCTGGAACTAGACGCCTTTTACGAGGTCACCATCACCAGGCCAGACAAGCTTCCACCTTGTCTCTTGTCTTTCTTCATGAGCTCACCACCACCAAATTTATTACTTTTAAGTGTTATTTTAAATTTTTACTTACATTTTAAGTGTTTAAATATTCAAGATTCATTACAAACAATTTGCCACATTTGCTTTATTTCTATCTTGGACATCATGACACATAGCTTCAGCACATACCTCTTAAAAATGAGAGCATCATCTTACATTAACACTACAGTTAATCACACCTAACCCAAATGTTATACCTGTAGATACTGCAGACCATGTTCAAATTCTCCCAGTTGTCCCTTTAATGTTCTCAATAACCTTCTGTGGCTGTGCAGAATTCAATCAAGGACCATGCAATTACATTTAGTTGTCATATTTTCTTGGTCTCTTTTCATCTAAAAACAAACCCCTGATGTTTTTCCTGTCATGTATACAATGACACTGGTGAAGAGCCTGGTACAGTTGTTTTGCTAAACAGTCTTGAATCTATGTTTATCTACAAGTTCCTTCTCAGTAGCATGAGGGTTAAGCCTTTTGGCAGATAAAGAATACAGGTGACATCAAAACTTTTCTTAAAACAATGTCATCATTCACTCTATGACTCCCACAAACTCCTGTGTCTTGAATTCAAAGTTGCTTCATTCTGTGTCCCCATGCCCCATGCAGCTGCCCCAGTACACACCCTCCTCTCCAGGAAAGGCATTCCCCTCACTAGCCCTCAAACATATTCAGAGAACAGAATTTCAAAGACCACCAGAGATCACCCAATCAATTTCCTCATTTGGCAGAAGAAACATTTTTACTACAAGAAAGGAAGAGATCCAAGGAAGAGACGAAAACTATTCTTGTCTAGAAAAAGAAATCCTGACTTCTCCCTACCTGTTGTGAGAAAGGACTGAGCAATGATTATCCACTTCACTCTCACCTCCTACTGAAATGACCAGGGAGTGGGGTAGGGGGCAGAATTAGATTAAATGACTCTGTATCAAAAAGTTCTAACTGCTTGGTCATGTGAAACTCTAAAATTATACTGCAGACCTTCGGTAGCATGTCTTATGTGTGTTTCAGTGAAAATTCTTATGCTCAGAGGTGTCCTTTTTCTTTTAAAGTGACCTGGCAAAAGGGACTCTTTGGCCATCAGCCAAAGAAAAACCAAAAAGTTCACAGAGCACAAAACCAAAGTTATCAACCAGGGCTACTGAATTAACTGAAATGGCCCATGCAAAAAACAATCTGACCCTACCTGATACTAGAGACAAGAATTAATTCAAGATGAACCACAGACCAAACTGCAAAAGTGAAACAAGCTTTGAGAAGAAAACACTGAAAATATCTTTGCCACTTGGGGGCTGGTGATGGTTTCTTAGGACACAGAAAGCAATAATTGTAAAAGAAAATAATTTATAAATTAGGCTTCATCAAAATTAATACCTCTGATCATGCCACAGACTGAAATAAAATACCTACAAAACATATCTAACAAAGGATTTACATCAAGAATATAGAAAACCCTCCTAAAACTAAGTAATAGAAAGGCAATAACTTAACTTTTTAAATGGGCAAAAAAAGACAAAACAGACATTTCACAAAGTAAGACATAAGCACATGAATAGGTGTTCAACATCCTTAGTCATCCTTCCCTAGTCATCAAACCACAATGAGATACCACAACTCATCCACCAGAACAGCTAAAATTAAAGACTGACAAACACCAAATGTTGGCAAGGATATGGAATAATCAGAACCCTCACACATTTATGTTGTGGGAGTGTAAAAAGTACAACCACTTTGGTAAAATGCCTGCTAGCTTTTTATAAATCTAAACATACACCTACCCTATAACCCAGCAATTCCACTCCTAGATATTTACCCAAGAAAGATTAACATGTGTGTCCACAAAAAGACGTACAAAACAATGTTCAAAGCAGCTTTATTCTTATTAGCTTAAAACTGGAAAAAACCCAAGTGTCCATCAATAAAAGAATAAACAAGCTGTGTTATCTTCATACTGTGTAATAGCAATCAACCACAAAAAGGAACAAACTGCCCTGACTGGGTGGCTCAGTTGGTTGGAGTGTCGTCCCATACACCAAAAGGCTGCAGGTTCACACCCTGGAAGGGGTGCATACAGATGGCAACCTATCAATATTTCTCTCTTTCCCTCTCTCACTCTCTCTCTCTCTTTCTTTCTCTCATCAATTAAAAAACATGTCTCAGGTGAGGATTTAAAAAATTTAAAAATTTTTAAAAAGGAACAAACTACTAATACACACAACATGAATAAATCTCAGAAACCACACTGAATGAAAGAAGCCTTACCAAAAGAACACACACTGTACTAAAACAGGCTGATTTATGGTAGAAACAAATTAGAAGAGTAGTGGCCTTCAGGGGTGTTGGTACAAAGACTTACTAGGAAGGAACATGAAGGGACTTTCCAGGTGATGGAATTGATCTGTATCTTAGTAGGGAATGAGGTTGTACAGTAGCTGCATTTGTCTAAACTAATCAAATAGCATATCTAAAATCATTGCATTTCCCAATTTTATAAAAAAAAAACATAAGCAAATATTAAACTCTAGTTTAAAAATACGTCTGTTGTGCAGTGAATGATGTTTGCAACTTTGAAATGAATCAAAAAAATAAAATGGGTCAACGAACAGACAGGCAGATGGACAGATGGCTAGATCTATGATAATGCTAATACAGCAAGATGCTCATTGTCAAACCTCAGAGGTGGGTACATGGGTGTTCACTGTACAATGCTTTTAAGTTTTTAAACCTGGAAATTTTTCCTATTAAAATACTTAGGGGAAATATTTGAAGGAGATATTTACACCAGTGCCTTTGGGTTTCTTTTACACTAGACTGAGCTTCAGGAGAGGACAACCACCTTCCATCCATGCTTACATCCTGAAAACAGAATGGATCACAGGCCCACAGTATGAATTAGCATAAATGCGTGCCTTACAAAACTGGGGATGAGGCCTGAACAGAAGTCCTGAACTAGATCCTTTTCCTTAGATGTGAAGAACATCTGTATATGTGGACATGGACTGTTTTCATCTTCATGATACCAGCAGAAGAGGCTAATAGCACATAAATGAGTATAGATGGACAGGGTCATTGAAAACTAAAGATTACATAAAAACTGAAACTTCTACAGGACATTTTTCAGTTTTCTTTTTTTAATTCTGAAATAGATTGACTCAAGGAAAAAGAAATGGGGAGGATGAAAAAGAGGAATTTAAGCACCCTCCATGACAGGATCCTGTACAAGGGATTCTCTCCAAGTACAGTTGAGTTCGTTCCAGCAAATGACTAACAAACACTTGAAGAATGATTCACAACTAATTTTGAAAAAAAAAAAAAATGTAAGTCATACCATTAACAGACCCAGTCAGTCATCACTAAGAAGTAACGCAGCCTTTTCTCTCCTAAAAGAGGACCTATTGCATCTTCTGGCATCAAGATAAGAGGACAATAGTTCACCCCCTTTATGGCTGAAAATGCCTAGAGATTTGGGGAGAGTAAGTGATGAAAAGTTTCCACTTCAAATGAAGTTTCTCAATCTCACCTCCACCCCAAGTCAGATGGTGGATTTAAAAATCACACTCCTGCCCTGGCTGGTGTGGCTCAGTGGATAGAGCGCCAGCCTGAGAATTGAAAGGTCGCTGGTTCTATCCCTGGTCAGGGCATATGCCTGGGTTGCAGGCCAGGTCCCCAGGTCCCCTGTGAGAGGCAACTGATCGATATATCTCTCGCACATTGATGTTTCATTCCTTCTCTTTCTCCCTTCTTTCCCCTCTTTCTAAAAATAAGTAAAAATAAAATTAAAAAAATAAAATCATATTCTTCTGCAAACTATCGAGGTATTGTGAGAACAAAAGAATCTAACCTTAGACCAAGTAAATTTTATGTAAAATTAAGATAAAAAACAATTTTGTTCACTCAAACAGCACCTGACTAAGAGCCTTTTGCCTTTAGATCAGAAGATAATGGCCTTCAGGAATTCCAGACTCCCTTGCAGAACAAGCAACACTGTCACATTAGATTCTATTTAAGATATAGATAAGAATGATGATAAGAGTTTTAACTAAACCCTGACATAGTGCGGCTCAGTGCGTTGGGCATTGTACCAAAAGGGAGAAAGATCACCAGTTCAATTTCCAGTCAGAGCACATGCCAGGGTTTCAGTTAGGTCCCCAGTCACGGTATGTACGAGAGGCAACTGATCAATGTGTCTCTTCCTCTCTTTGTCCCTCTCTTCCTTTCTCTCTAAAAATAAGTCAATAAAATCTTTTTAAAAATAAAAATAAAATTTTTTAATTAAAAAACTAAAAAATAGAGTTTTAACTGGGATCTAGAGATTTTATTGCCTTGGGTTTGGAAGCTTATCTTTGAACCCCTTCCATGACAGCAGTAAATGGAGAGGTTCTTCAGGCGGAGCTCTGCAATTGAGAGAGACAAGTCCCAGAAGAGTCACATGTTTCCTTGTCACCAACGCTTTGCTCTCCCCAGAACCCAAGTGAGCTGTTACCTGAGTAGCCCATTGGATTTGTGTGTGCCAAGCTCCAAGTAAGGCATCGTAGAGTCCAGTGAGCTGCCGGTCCAGGGGTAGGTCACTCTGGCACAACTCTTGCCAGGCTGCTACAAGCTGCGCCTGCACAGGCAGTAGTACAAAGGGGCCTTAGTGGGAACACCAATACATGGTTCCCACTAAAAACACCCTGCTCTCCTACAATGGCAAGCAAAGTACTGCAGCCTACTATCCTGCGCAACCATGTACACACTTACGGTCATGTACTTCCAAAAAAGGCAGGGAAAAAACCCACTTAGAGTTACCTGCTCTGATCATCTATCAAAGCTTGAATCTATTGCCCTCTAAGGGATCCTTTCTCCTTTTATCTTGTACCAAAACAGGCCTACGTACTTCCACTTAGCAGACTACCACCTTCAGAATAGATCTCAGAGGTAGTATGAGTGTGTGTTTTAGCTTAAAGTCCTAACACCACTGCTCAAAAGACACATGCACATCAGACTTGAAAGAAATTATGCCAGCCCAGGACACTGTCAAGTTTTTCAGGAACCTAACTTCAACAACCCTAGGAAGTACGTAAAATTCTCATGGTTTGCTGAGGGCACAATAAAGCTTAATACATGAATCTCCCTTAGAGGACAAAAATGAAAACTTTCGTCTGTAAATGAAATTCAGCTGTAAATAATACAAGAGAGACCAAAACTGATGATTCATTTCCCAGCTAGCAATTAAATGAATCCCCAAGCTGGACTGAGAGCACCCCCTGCAGGCTAATGAAAAGAAAATGGTCAGAGCAAGGAAGGAATTTTTACCTGGGGGCATGAAACTAGTATTCCACAAGCATAATCACTCGCAGCTTCTCTCTCACCTTGTGACACTTGTAGTAGTATGCAAGAAGTTGGGGCATCCGGTCAATTTCAGTAAACACCTTCACAAACATTTTGGATTGCTCTAAAGGAGAACGACATAAAACATGTATACGCTGTTACCAGGTTTTCTTTTGCAGCCCAGAAAAAGAATTTATCAAAATAAATGTGGACACATGAGCTAGTAGTATTCAGGTTTTCCTACCTAGTCAATGATGTAACTCATGAGTGGAGATCATAAATATGAAAAATCCTGGTACTGTATTTTGCCATGTATAATGTGCACCTTTCTGCCCAAATTTTTGAGGGAAAAATAAGGATGCGAATTATACATGAGTAGTACTACTTCTGTACCTATATAAATGATTTTAATTATTTTATTTATGCTTATGCGTTAAAAGTGTAACTCTAGAAAGCAGTAATGATACCCAAAATATGCAAAATAATGTCCTGGTATATAATAATTGGTTTTATATATAAAATAAATTGGTTTTATATATAAATTGAATTAAAAAATTAAAAAAAATTTTTTTCCTGAAAGTTTGGGTCAAAAATGTGGTGCGCATTATACAGTGGAGCTCATTATACACGGCAAAATACAGTAAGTAAAGTTAAGGGCAGAATATGTGTATCAACTGAACAATGCTTATTTAGAAAAATGCATTAACAAGCATCATTAAAAAATAGCATAGGAAAGAATGGGGAAAGGGGAGAGGAGAGCTATGAAAGCTAAATCCGTAGCTAAAACAACAGGAAGTCAACAGACATTGTCTAAAATTGACATATGAAGAAATACAGTAATGCATTTATTATGCAGAAATGCAAAGTGAAATACTAGTGAACAAAAGCTCTAGAAATTAAAAGCGGTGGTCTCCTAGGACCAGAAGTGGGGAATGAGAAGATATAAAAAGAGGATGCTATTTTTCCTTATAAGACCTTCAGGACTATTTAACTTTTTCAAAATTGTAGCTGACAAGAAAAAAGAACTATCTGAATTTGAGAAAAAGAAAAGCAAAGCCAATTAATTCATTTGTGGGTCTGCACTTCCAATTGGTAGTTTAGGTAAATCTGCTGAGTTACAGGCCTTTTAGAAATGATGTAGCTCTTACTCAAACAGAACCTCCAGAATTTCGTTACTGGCCTCACAGGAATTGTTCCCTTGGGCTACTACTGTAAGAGCTAGAGAGTCTCAAAACAGAAGGCCCAAGAGAAAGAATGTTCCCTGAACACTTCCTCTGGACCAGGAGCTGTATTCCTGCTGTCTCATTTAATCCCCCAAGAACAGTATGGTCCTACTCCATACTTTCGTTCTACTGAGGGGAAACTGAGGTTTCATTGTTCATATGCAGCAACCCAGAAATTGAAAGCTTGATCTGCCCAGTCTCCAAAGTCGACACTGCTTCCACCCAGCCACAGTAAGTTCCTCAGGCCATTAGTAAGTTCCTCAGGAAACTTACTAATAAATTGTTAGCAGAGATGAAACTGTTCCCTGAAAAGAAGCTCTGTTCAAACTATGCTCTGTCCTCAACCTTCTTTTCCAGCCTCATTACTGACCACTTCCTAACATTCACTCCACTAAAATGGGTTTCATTATTATTCCCCAAAACAGACCCTGAGTTTTCCCACTTCTGTACCAATCAAACCTATGTTGTTCCCTCTCCCAAATGCTTGTCCTCACCTATCAAAGTCTTACACCCAGGAGAAAATGCTCATATTCTATTGCTAACTGGGGCGGGGGGAGGGGGATTTGTATATACTCACTGAATATACTTTCCTTGAAAGATATATGTATACAAAGGGGCCATGACCAGTGTTGTTCAGTTGGTTGTGCACTGTCCCACAAAGTAAAAGGCTGCTAGTTCAATTACTGTTTGGGGCACATGCCTGGGTTGCAGGTTCAGTACCCAGGTCAGGGCGCATAGAAGAGGCAGCTGATCAATGCTTCTTTCTCACAACAATGTTTCTCTACCCCTCTCTGTCTCCCCCTCTTCCCCTCTCTTATGAATTTTAAAAAAAAAAATTCTTTTTTAAAAAGGTTTATGTATACAAAGGGAAAAAAATGGAAGAAAATACTTGATAGTCATCTCTGGGTGGTGATTTTGCTGCTAAATCATTTTCTTTTCTATATGTTTCAAATTCTCAGTAGCCTGTATATGCATTACTTTTACAATCAGAAACAATTTTTAAACATTTTTAAAGTCATCTCTCTTTCACAGTTCTGCACAGATACTAGCTTTTGTCTAAAAACGTTCTCAGTTTTCCTTCTTCCTTTTCTTCATCTCAGGGCAGCTTAGGCAACTTTCACATTCCATTCTGTAACTATTTGTGCACTGTTCTCTTCCAGCCTCACCTTCAGTTAAGCTGTCTTGATGGGCAGAAACCTTACCTTACTAATCTTTACATTCCCTACTGTTCCTGACATCATTCATAATTTGAAACAATAGTTATCTGCTATCCCTTTGAAAATTCTTACTGTGATCATACAACATGGGAATTATAAAAAACACAAACTCAACTCCTAGATTTGGTAGCTTAAGGAAAAAGTAAATCACTTGGTAAACATCAGCATTCTATACATAGCAATGGACTCTAAGAGCCAACTCATGGGTCTACTATCAAGTAATTTCTGACATGCTTCCCTAAGGGCAGAGGAAATGACTAAACAAAGCACCAGATTCCAGGATGAGTGCAGAAAAACCAGAGGGCTGTCCCTGCTGGCCCTGAACATGCAGCAACACTACCACCTCTCATCTGCCCCCTTCTGGCCAAAGCACAGAATCTTAGAATTCTATGAAAAAGAAGGAAAAAATCCTGAGTAGACAGGTGCCCAACGTTTTATATCTGCTTTGTCCCCCTTCATCTCTGGGAAGCCCAATAAACAGCTGAGAATGAAAATCTGTAATAGCAACCACTGCAGAGACAATCCAGCTAAACTTGGGAGATCTGCCTGTAGATCTCACTTTAATGGGCAGGAATCCATGAGTTAGAAAATGACTATTTCCCTTTAAAATGCTTATTATTTCCATAAGACTACTTAAATAAATGCATCTTTCTGCTACAAGTAAACTTATACCACAGAAAGTTGCTTCAACTGATCAACTGAATTCACTGGCTATATAAAATGAAGTAGGCATATATACTTAGAGATTATCACTCTGAAAGAGAGAGATAGAAAAGGGTAATGTGTTGGGGGTGTACGCATTTATCACAGCTTTCACTTTAAAAACTGTTAGATAAAGAAGCACCTTGGGCCCTGACTTGTGTGGCCCAGTTGGTTGGAGCATCGTCCTGAAGGGTAATGGGTTTGATTCCCTGTCAGGGCACATGCCTAGGTTGCTGGTTGGGTCGCCAGTCCAGGAGCCAGGGTATATGGGAGGCAACCAATCAATGCTTCTCTGTCGCATCAATGTTTCTCTCTCTCTCCCCTTTCCTCTCTCTCTCAAAAAGCAATGAAAAAATGATGTTGTATGAGGATAAAAAAAGAAGAAGAAAGCCCCTTGACCTTCCAGGAGAGATGGTTGATTAAAAGCACATTACTTTTTTTCAGGGGCGGGTGGATTCTTCCTGATACTCACCAAAACTAAGCATCAACAGAAAAACAAAACACCATTTCATCTATGTTAAAGCCACAAAAATATCTGTACTACAAACATCAAGTAATGCCAATCAGAGAGTCAATCATTTTGGCTCAAGAGGAATGGAAATGCTGGGAGTACTCTCAATGTAAACATGGAGTATTGTATGATGGAAAGAAGGAAAACAGGAAGCAAAGGGAGGTCTGGGAAAGAAGTGGGAAGAGGGCCTGTTTCCACATGGTATCAGTGGGTACCCAATTGCTTATCAACACTAGTGTACTCACACTTCATGATTTCAAAACTTACTACAAAGCTAAAATAATCAAAGAAGGGCAGTACTGGCATATGAAAAAAAGAAGTTGTAATATTCATACCCCAGTAGACCCGCAGACAAAAAGCACTCAATGGAGCCATTGCAATATGGATAAAAAATGCTATTTAAACCCCAATAGAGGAGCTCTGACCAAGGTGGAAGAGTAGGTAGATACACTTGGCTTCCTTGCACAACCAAAAGAAGGAAACTGATTTAAAAACAAAAAACAACACGAACTGTCAGAAAATTGAACTCTATGGGAGTCCAACAACTAAGGAGTTAAAGAAGCAGCATTCATCCAGACTGGTAGGAGGGGCAGAGATGGGCAGCCAGGATGAAGAGGACACACAGCAAGGCAGCAGCTGGCAGACCTGACAGTCCCACATTTGGGTGCAGATAAACCAGGGGAACAACTGGGGAGCGAGACAGACTGGGTAGCCCAGGGTTCCCGTGCAAGGAAAATAAAGCCTAGAACCTTTGACTGTAAAAACCTGTAGGGGTTGCAGTGGTGGGAGAAAATTCCAGTCTCTTCAAAGCAGGGTGAGAGCCAAGCAATCGGCATTGTTCCCTTTCTGACACCTCCCGCACATACAGCGCCACAACACAGCGAGGTGGGTTGCTCTGTCCATTACAACATAACAGGTAAGCCAAGACAAAGAAATATGGCCCAATAAAGAATAGATCAAAACTCCAGAAAAAGAACTAAGTGACAAGGAGAGGGCCAACCTATCAGATGCAGAGTTCAAAACACTGGTAATCTGGATGCTCACAGAAATGTTTGAGTACGGTCACAAAATAAAGGAAGGAGTAAAGCCTATACAAACTGAAATAAAGAAAAATATATAGGGAAACATCAGTGAAGGGAAGGAAACCAGGACTCAAATCACTGATTTGAAACAGAAGGAAGAAATAAACATTCAACCAGAAGAGAATGAGGAAACAAGAATTCGAAAAAATGAGGAGAGGGTGAGGAACCTCCAGGACAACTTTAAACGTTCCAACATCCAGATCACAGGGGTGCCAGACGAAGAGGAAGAAGAGCAAGAAATTGAAACCTTATTTGAACAAATAATGAAGGAAAACTTCCCCAATCTGGAAAAGGAAATACACATGCGAGTCCAGGAAGCTCAGAGAGTCCCAAAAAAGTTGGACCCAAAGAGGAACACTCCAAGACACATTTAAATTACTCAAGATTAAAGATAAGGAGAGAATCTTAAAAGCAGCAAGAGAAAAGGAGGGTGTTACCTACAAGGGAGTTCCCATAAGACTATCAGCTGATTTCTCAAAAGAAACCTTGCAGGCAAGAAGGGGCTGGAAAGAAGTATTCAAAGTCATGAAAAGCAAGGCCCTACATCCAAGATTACTTTATCCAGCAGAGCTATCATTCACAATGGACGGGCAGATAAAGTGCTTCCCAGATAAGGTCAAGTTAAAGGAGTTCATCATCACCAAGCCCTTATTGTATGAAATGTTAAAGGGACTTACCTAAGAAAAAGAAGATCAAAACTAGGAACAATAAAATGACAACAAACTCACAACTATCAACCACTGAACCTAAAAACAAAAACAAACTAAGCAAACAACTAGAACAGGAAAAGAATCACAGAAATGGAGATCACATGGAGGAAGATCAGCGGGTGGCAGGGACGGGAGGGAGGTGGTCAGGAAATAGGCTGTGAAAGGGGTAAAAGATACAGGGAATAAGAAGTATAACTGGTAGATACAAAATAGGAGGAGGTTAAGAATAGTACAGGAAATGGAGAAGCCAAAAAATGTATATGCACAACCCATGGACATGAACTAAGCAGGGGTGAATGCTGTAGGTAATGGGGGTAACCAGGCAGAGGGGGATAAAGGGTAGAAAAAAAATGAATGGGACAACTGTAAAAGCATAATCAATGAAAGGAACTTAAAAATAAAATAAATTTTAAAAAACCACCCAATAGAGAGTAAGAATGAATGAAGGCTTCTCAATTGTTTTCATGAAACCAACAGAATCTTGGTCCTACAACCTGACAAAGATATTCACTAATGGGATCTTAATGAAAAAATTCTAAGTATGACATCAGCAAATATCCAGTAGGACATTAACACATGCACACACACCATGGAGAGGTGGGGCTTCATAAATTGCAACCTTAGAAATGCTATTAATATGACTTACCATATTACTAGGTCAGAGAAAATAAAAATAATACATTCAATCTTGATAAATGCTGAAAAGGCATTTAATAAAACTTGACAACAGCCCTGGATGGTATGACTCAGTGGATTGAGAGCACTGGCCTGAGAACCAAAAGGTCACTAGTTTGATCCCCAGTCAGGGTGTATGTCTGGGTTGTGGGCCAGGAACCCAGTGGGGGATGCAGGAGAGACAACCAACAATTCATGTTTCTCTTTCTCTCTTTCTCCCTCCCTTCTCCTCATCTAAAAATAAAAAAATAAAATCTTTTTTAGAAAAAAGAAAAAAGAAAAAAATTCAACAACAATTTTTTTTTTTTAATTATCTAACACAGTAGTATCAAGTGCTGGCTGTGTATTCCATTTTGGCTTTCCTACCAGGGCATAGGAGACCACACGTTTCCAGGCCCAAACTACCAAGAGAAATGGAGTGCAAAGAAATCATCTTCAGAGGGAGAGCAGCATTACTGATTGGCACAAGGAGGATATTAAGCTGCTCTCACCCACCCTGAAAACTCAACTAGCCAGACGATCATTCTCCAAGGGTCCTATATGGGAACAGAGATGACTATATGTCCCAACTGGCCCAGGACAGCCTTGGTTTACACTTATTGTCCCAGCTTCATTATTAAAAGCACCACTTTCCTCTCAAAAAGTGTCCCAGATTGATGATAAATTATATGGTGAAACTCAGTATAACAAAATTTTACAGTGTGTATATGTATAAGAGTTTATAGGTATGTACGCAGTTCTGCATATTCATATTAATAACTAGCTATAGATTTCAAAAAATAACAATTAATGAAGCCTAGTCTCTGCACACATAACCATCCTAAAACAAATTTAAGACATCATACAGAACTCCTAAGGTAGCAGTCTTCTCGTGACTTAATTTCATCATCAGAAATGTACCATCACATAAACAAAATCTATACTACCTGTCAGGAGCCAAGTGATGAAAGCATTTCAGAAAGGAGGGAGCAAGAAACATTAACTGTTGTTGACAATGAGAAACAGCAGAGTGTAAATGGAAACAGCAGAGTATAAATGGATAAATAAATGGAGTTTCCTGATGATAGCTGTTGGAGAGCCTCAATGAAACAAGCTCAGGACAATTAAACCCACAGGATAAGGGCTTTCAAGTCAAGAAAGCAGGAGCAGTGATACAGTTAATGTTCTGTCCAATATAAACAGTTGTGAAGGTAAGAAGCCAGCTTTTCTGTTGCTTCCTCCTGGTTAACCAATCATTGTGAGGGTAAAAGGGAAAGGGAGTTAGATAAACATGTTGAAATATCACTGGAAAACAACATTCCAACATAATGTTCTTAACAAGCGTCACAACTCATCAAGTGGTACACTTAAGATTTGTTCATCTCTTGCCCTGGCTGGTGTGGCTCAGGAGACTGAACACTGGCCTGAGAACTGAAAGGTCACTGGTGTGATTCCCAGTCAGGGCACATGCCTGGGTTGCTGGTCAGGTCCCCAGTTGGGGGCATGTGAGAGGCTACTGATCAATGTACCTCTCACGCATTGATATTCTCTCCCTCTCTTTCACCCCCCCTCCCCCTCTCTCTAAAAGGAAATAAATAAAATCTTTTTTAAAAAGAAAAGATTTGTTCATTTCTCTACATGTAAATTTTATTCCCCTAAAAAGAAAAAAATCACAAACCACTACTGAATTCAAGTTACTGATGTGAATATGAATTTGAAGTGTTTAGGAGTGAAGCACACAGATGTCCATAACTTACTTGGAAATGCACCAAAAAATAAGATGATGCATCTCAAGAGCTGGCCAAATGGGCAGGTATGTGACAAAGCAAAGGTGGCAAAATGCTAATGCTAGGATCTAGATGGTGTGTTTGTTGTACACTTATTTCAACTTCTTGGCATTTTGAAATCTTTCATGTAAAATGCTGAAAAAAAGGCAACCACCATAAAGTTACAATTTACTTCCCATATACATAATTTAATCAACATTGAGACACTGTAAAGGTTGAAGACTCAGAAAGCCTTATCTCTGACATAGCGTTACACAGAGGTAAGAAACGGCCAGCACTCACCTACAGACTGCGAGGTGAACGCCGCCACGATCTGGGGGCTAGCCAAGGCCTCCAACCTGTTTTTCAAGGCCTCCAGGTGCACACATTTTTCTGAGTAGTCTGGTGTGTCAATGAGCATCATTAAGCTGTTTTGCATGCCTGTTAGCTTGGCAGAAATCACAGCTATATCCTACAAAAAGACCACCACAGAAGATACTCGTTTTACAACATCCCTGCTACTTCAGTCAATAAGGGACAAAATACATGAAAAAGCATAAAATAAGAAAATGGCCGATAAAGATGTGTTTACTGTTATTAGTACTCAAATAAATGCAAACTGAAATGAGAAAGTGCCATTTTCCTAACCAATTAGAAAGAGTTTTTAAAAATTATAACAACTATTGTTGGTGAGGTTGGGGGGAAAAAAAAATCTGTCAGGGACCATAAATTTATATTGTCTTTCTGGAAGGCAATTTAGTACCATGCTTCAAGAGTCTTAAAAATATTCACATCCTTTGACCTGGTACTCCCTCTTTTAGAAATCTGTCTAAGGAAATAATCAGAGGACACAAAGATATTAATGTATTATAATTAATTAGTGTAACTTTAGTGTTGTAATAACAAAACCTGGAAGCAACCTCAATCTTCCATAATAAATAAAATACAAATTATGGGTTACTCATAATGGCAGGTGGAATACTATACAGTCACAAAAAATATTCTTAAAAGTATTAATTACACAGCAAAATACCACTTGCTATTAACTGAAATAGAATAAAAAACAGTATAGACACTAGAAAATAAATATATATTACCTATAATATATGCATATGTACAAAATACATTGAGTACAAATACATACAAATATACAGAAAAATACCTAATAGACAAAAAACATATTACTAGGGGATAAGAATGAGAGTCATTTTGTTTTCTTCCATGTATTTTTCTAAATTTTCCAAATCTCTCAAGGTACACATAGGTTATGTTTATAACTAGAAAAATAAATGCTATGCTTACAAAAGAATTAAGAGTGTAATAACTAACTGCATTTCACTTCATTATTCAACACATCTATGATGTGTCAGACACTATATTAGGTGTTCAAAGATGAGTAAGGTCACATTGCTGTCCTGAAGTTCACAGAGTACTGTGACAGACAACTGCAATACAATTTAAGAAGCATGACTCAGTGTTAAAGAAGTACAGGTGAGGGAGCAATCAATGTTGCATGTGAGAGGTGAAGAGCTAAAAGGGAGAATAAGAAAGGAGGTGATACTTCAGCTGGACTTTAAGGGATGAGTAGAGGTTTGCTGTCTCTAAGAAAAGAGAGGAGGGACAGTTCAGGCAGAGAAGGAAGACATAAAGGGTATTAACAGTCCAGAGCAGTCACACTGTAGAATTCATATGGAGGGGGTGGCCACAGAAAAAGCCACACATACCACTCTGTGAAAGAGGTTATGCCTATAAGTGTGCATAATCGGCAGGAAAGTAAGAGAGAGAGAGAGAGAGAGAGAGAGAGAGAGTAGGATAGGTATAAAGATGATAACAGAGAAATTAGGAAATTAGTGGTGTCAGCATTACCAGAAAGACATTTTTTGCTGGTAGAAAATGGGGAATCGCTAAAGGTTAAAATGGGATGGCAAAGAACAGGGAAATGACATGTGCCAGTCTGTGCTCTAGAATATCTCCCTGGTCCCATGTGGAGGATAAAGTGGAATGTGGGAAGGACCTGGCAGCAAGACCCATGGACGGTGGTGGCAATGGTCTAGCAGTAAAACAACTGGGAAGCATGATTCACAGTGGTGGCAGAAGAATGAAAAGGACAAATAACTGAAGACAAATAGGGGAGAGATGGGAAAGGAGGAACAGTTAAGGACTTTTGAGGCTCTGGCCTGGACACTTTGAGTGGAAAATGACACCATTAAGCAAGACAGGGAGGCCAAAAGGAAGAGCATGTGGGGAGCAGGAGCGGCTCGGGGCAGATCTGAAGAACCTGGGGCAGTACAGATGGATGCGTGTGGTGCTGTGGGCAGGCAGTTCTGAAGAGCAGGGTTGGGGGAGGAGAAAAACAAGATTTATAACTTTTAACTAATTAACAGTGGTAGTTCACTACTATTAAACTCAGAACCTTTTAAACTATTAAACCATACTTAAATCCATTCTCTCTCATACACATGTACGAGGAATTCCGTAAGATTTGCAACCTCCATCTATATAGCCAGACCAATTGGATTTCTGGGCATCCTGCAGGGCTCTGAAATGGAAGAGGGAGGAGTATGGCTCTGCTGTAGGTAAAGATAATGACACCTGACACAGAGTAATTGATAGATGATTCAGTAAAAACACAAGGTACAAAAAGCAGTGTTCACAATGTGCTCCCACTTGTGGAAAAAAATGGGCAGGAAACATACATCTGTGTGTGTGTGTATCTGGAAGGATAAGCATAAAGGTGATAACAGAGTTTGTAGGAGAAGAGAAATTAGGAAATTAGGGTGTCGGGTTCATGAAAAAGACATTTTTTTTGCTGTTTATTCCTGTTTACTGAAGTTTTTCCTGTGTACATTTATAACTTAAAAAAAAAAACTTTCAAGTTTTTAAAAATAGCAAAAGATGTAATAAATAATTCATTTTGTTTTACAAGGAAAAAATGTTTATAAATCATCTCATTTCATCCTGATAAGCAAGTTTCAGAAGTACACTACTTTCCACACTCTGTAGCCCAGGAGGGGTTAAGTAACTCAACACAGTTCTGTGGTGTGTAAGGCCCCTCTACCCACGTTCCATCCTACTCTCATTTACACTGTTCTCTCTACCTTTTTGTTGGGGCATCTCCTGTATTTAGTCTCTGAGACTAGAAGCTTCAATCAAGCAGAAGGTACAAACTAAAGAGGGGGGAAATGCTGAGAGCACTCTCAGGCTCTTCCTGCCCCATGTCAGAACGTTTCTAGACATGGTCATTTCCTGCCCCTACTGCTGTGAGTGAATGGCTATTTTATTAGTTTCCCCAAACCTCAAGTTCCCAGTGAACAGATTTCACAACATCCCCTAAACAAGAAACCTACTTGAGTCTTGAACGTCTCCTCGATATCAGCACTCAACGTGCTCCACTTATCTGCTTCTTGAAGGGACTCAGCTGCAAGCTGCATCCTGGACTTCACCTGGTCGATTTCTACCAACACCTAAAAGGGAAAGGGGTCAAAAACCAACGAAGTGGCTGTTCCATTTTCTCTGCTTCCCATCAGTACTTGACACCTAAGTATTGTGGCATGTTCCCATCTCTAAGGAGCTCCTGTGTCCTTTACAACACAGTCACAAGGTTAAATGTCCAGCAGATGCTGAACAGAGATTAGTATAAGCTGAAAGAACCAAGCAAAAGAGTAATCTGAGTGCTTGACAGAATTCTTAGTTAAGGCTGGCCTCCCTCACTGAGAATGGACATCTTCCAAAACCACAAGTCAACATTCAGGACAGGAGTCAAAATACCTGCATTGACTGGGATGTGTCCTGTTCAAATTTTTTAATGTCCTCTTTGACAAGAATCATTTGCTCTTTCAGAAAAGATGCCTCCTGTTTAAGGGCTTCCACATCACGGAGCACTTTGGGCATGTTCTGAAGGGCCTGGAGACTTGTTTCTGTAGCAAGAATCCAAATACAGAAATAGGCACTGAAAGTGAAAATCAGACCAGTCACCAGTGAACAATATAAATCAGATGACAGGAATAAAGTTATGTATTAACCACATTTCTCCAACCTATGAGAAATAGAGGGTGGAAGGGGAGCTGGCCTTTGCCAGGACCATGTCCTCCCCAAACTGATGGGTAAGGGCCATGTGATTTCACATGGAACATACCATCAACCTGACCCAACATCAATTGTTTCCACCACTGAGTTCAATTTTAACACCCTACCCTTTCCAAGGAAGCAGAATGAAGGACTTCGGCATTCGGTGAATGCCAGTTATGCAGCAGGTACTTTACACACATTATATCACTTACTGTCCATGCCAATTATTAGCAGCCACTTTTCTTTTTTTTTTAAGATTTTATTTATTTACTTTTTAGAGAGAGAAAAAGAAGAGAAACATCAATGTGTGAGAGAAACATCCAATGGTTCCCTCTTGTATGCCCCCAACTAGGGATGTGGCCTGCAACCCAGGCATGGGCGCTGAGCGGAAATTCAACTGGTGAGCTTTCAGTTCACAGGTCGGCGCTCAATCCACTGAGCCACATCAGCCAGGGCATGCTTACTGATAAGAAAACTGAGGCTCAGAGAGGCTAGGTAACTTGCCCAAGATTTCAGAGCTGAAACCAAGCCTTACAGTCTTTTCAAAATATAGTCTGCAGACCACCAGAACCAGCTGCAGTGAAGTTAAAATGAAGGTCCCTAGGCCATCATCCAGAGATTCCTATTAGTATGCCTGGTAGATCAAGTAAGACCAAGGAATCTGCATTTTTTAATGTCTGAAGTGTGAAATTAAGTTTGAACACATTTGCACACCAAGATGTGTTATATGGAAGGGGAGGGAGGATTAAGGGCATAGAGCCTCTTAATCCTTTAATGAGGAATTAACCAAAGAAGCCCAGATCTTCTGCTCCATCAGTGGCCTGAATGGACCTTCACATCTTAAAGATGCACTTCAGGAATCTGTTCATCCAACTCTGCCTTGAAATAACCTGTTTCCATCACTGACCCCAGGTAAGGTTCTAAGCCTAAGAAAACAAAGAACACACAAAGATTTCTTAAATGCATAGAGGTTTCACTGACTTTTAACCATGTTGCGATGGCCCGGGCCTGGCCTCCAACTGCTAAGTCTCAGAATCACCCTTCAGGACTGACTGGTTTCCTGAGTACCCTTTTCTGTCTCTACATCCCCACAAAATGTAGTCCACTCTTTTATCCGTTTTAAAACTATCACTTCCACAGGTTGCCTCTGGGAGCAAAAGGGTCAGACTTTACTGCAAAGCACAGGGACACTTTTTTGTGGTGGTAACGTTCTCTATCTTAGGGAGGACTGAGTTACACTAGTTATACACGTGTGAAAATTCATCAATTCATCAGATAAGATCCATGCATTTCACTTTATGTAAATTTTATCTAATAAAAAAAACAAGAGCTGTAAACAAATATTGAATTCTAATTATAATAATTAGGGTTCTCACTGACATGGTCAGGGGTGAAGTGTACTAATGTCTGCAACTTATTTTGAAATGTACATCAAAACATGAAATGGATCAAGGGATATAAATGGATTTGTGATAAAGAAAGAATAGTAAAATGTTCATTGTAGCATCCAGACCGGGAATAAATGCAGGTTCATTATAAATTCTCTCGCTATAACTGTCTGGCGTCTCCACCCACAGTTACTTATTAGGTCAAGAATCTGCCCTCATTCTTTACTTTCTCCCCTTGTCAGCCCTCATTCAAACCCATCAGCAAGTTCTCCCCTTTCTTCCCCCTAAAAATGTCTTAAATCTAATCATTTCTCACCATTTCCATCACCATAACCCCATTAGAAGCCACTATCATCTCTCTTCTGAACCTCAGCAACAGCCTCCAGAATGGGGACATCGTCAAACCATGTCACTCCTCTGCTTAAAAAATCCTCCAGTGCCTTCACATTACACTCATTTTAAATAAAATCCAAAATCTTTAATGTGACATTCAAATCCCTGAGTGATTCCTACCAACCTCTCCAACCTAAGACTGGGCCTTGTTCAACAGTGTGTCTTGAGACCCGAGAAAAGAGTCTGTGCCCAATAAATATCGAATATTTACTGAGTAAATGAGCAAATCAATCCTCCAACTGAGAGCCCTCAACCTCTCCTGCTAGAACCTCTGCAGTGACTTCTCTTCACTGTACACCTGGGCCCTTGTCTCAACTTCCACAAATATAAAGCTTTAAACCTCCAAAAGTTTCTCCCAGCTGATGGATGAAACCCAAACCCAACCTGATGGCCAAAAAGGTCTTGCAGTTTGATCCCAATTTACTTTCCTGCCTTATCTCCAGCAGAAGTTTCCCCCAGGAAAGTTTGATCTTCTAATAGTCATAATGATGATGATGGTGACGACTAATATTTATTGATATTACTAATAAAGCTCTGTTTGAACCTCTCACCCTTCTCTGGACTGGCTAGGAGTAGCTGCAAAGTACATGTATCGGGTAAGAGCCTGGTCTCTGCAACCAGTTACCTGGTTTCAATTCCAGACTCCCTCATTCATTAGCAACATGATACTGGACAAGTTAACTTCTCTCAGCCGCAGTTTCTACAACTACAAAGTGGCTTAAATTAGATAACCATGCCCATAAAGGGGCACTATTAACATTTTGACCAGAGCATTTCATCATTGTTCAGGACATGCCCTTCATTGTGGGCATTAAGCATCACTGTCCATCTTGACATTCTCCCCATTTCAACAACTGAAAAAATCCCCACCAATTTCCAAATATGTCAGAGAAAAGAACAAGCACTACCATCCCTGGCTGAGAACCACTTAATTAATACATGTACAGAACTTAAAACAGTGACTGACATACCAGGGATTCAAATATTTGCTATTATTAACACCATCCCCCCACCCCCCTCCCCCGTCTTTGCCCTATGAAGTCTTCCACGACAGGAAGTGGATCCTCTTCCAGCCTCCACATCTCCCCGTTTCAGTTCCAGTAAAGCCACACACCTCACTGTAATCGGACTGTATACACGTCTTCCCCACAAGGCAGAAAGCTCCAGAAGGGGGCACTCTTCATTCCCAGTGCCCATTTCTTGACACACACATAGTAGATGCTCAATATTTAATAAAAGACGCAAAGTACAATAAAGAATCTGAAATGAAGTAAGTGTCCCTCCTCCCTAACTTTTGTTAAAAAGTCTATTTACTGGACCCAATTCCAGTGGACAGCCTGCTGACCTCGTCTTCCTGACCGACCCTCGCAGGGAGACTGGCCTGCAGGATGTACGGATCAAACATGCAGTGGATTAAAATCACACCGAAGAACTAGTCAAAGAACATGCATGAACGACCCATGGACATGGACAACAGTGAGGGGACTGACTGTGGAAGCAGAGGGTGAGCTGGGCGGATGAGGACAAAGGGGGGAAACATTGGGACAACTGTAATAGAATAAAAAATTAAAATAGTCAAGGAGTCACTCCAAATACCGGTGTTGGAAAAATATCCTGGGTTTCTCTGTGAAAACAGAACATAATGAGAGAACAATGTAATTTGTAAATCCAATGGCTTAATAAAATACAATAAAAAAAATCACGTCGAGGAGTTCGTGGAATGGCTGCTGGTGTGTGTTATTCTTTATCATAAACTACCCTTGAAAGACGATTGTAGTCTCTGTTCGGCCAGCCAGTTGAGGCCGATGGGGGAGGCGCCGACACCCACCGCCCAGCACGGGTCCCATCACCCGGTACCCCGCCGCTCACCCTCCACGGCATGGTTCACCTCCTGGATAAACAGCTGCAGCTTCATAACCAAGGTGGCCGCATGCCCGTCCACCTTCCCCGCCGCCGCCTCCTTGGGGCCGGCCCTGAAGGCCGCGTTGATCCACTCCTTCACGTCGAAGTCCTCGGCCAGGAACCTGGAGTAGTCCATGACCAAGTCCACCACAGCCCCGGCGGCCCTATGACAACGCAGCACCTCTCCAGAACACCTCCCGCGTCACCAATCCGAGGTCGTTGCCTGGGAATGACCCTCGCCGCGCGCTGTACTTATCCCGGAAGTAGGTAGCTGTTACCATGGCGAGGGCCGGCTCGGCGCCCGAGGAGTCCCGGAAGCTAGGCCTAGGAAACGCCCCTTCCACCAGCTTGATCGCTTGTTGAGCTTCCCGGAGATCCCGAAGAGTACTATTACTACCCTCCACCTAAAGATGAAGGGCGGAAGCAGGCAGGCTGTTCAGAGCTAGGATGGCAGCGGGTTAGGTAGCTAGAATAGGAAATGGTAGTGCGGAGATTTGAACTCAAGGACCCTGAACTCCACTGAAGACAGAGGGACAGGCGTAGCTTGGCCTCTACCCAGCACTCTTACACTCCTATCCTATCACTCTGGCTACATTTACCTCCTGGTCTTTTCTTGAGACTCCACGCTAGAATTCCCCAGTCTGCAACTCACTGCTTCCTCCAGTCGAAAACACTGGAAAGGAGACACGACCTGGGAGGGACTCCTTTGTCATAGGAAACAAAGTTTTATTTGTTTTGAAGATTTATTTTTAGAGAGAGGGGGAGGGAGGGAGAGAGAGAAACATCACGTGCGAGATCCGCTGCCTCTAACTGGAGACCTGGCCGGAAACCCAGGCATGTGCCCTGACTGGGAATCAACTAAATTGGCATTTCGGTTCCCAGGCCGGCGCTCTATCTAACCACTGAGGCACACCAGCCAGGGCAGAAACAAACAAAACAAAACGAAAATCCTGGTGTACAACTGTTAACACTTTTGCTATTTCTGGAAGACCTAAATCCACAAATTAGGAAAGCTGGTACACTAGCTTTGTAGGCGCAAACTGATCAAGCTCTAGGTCTTGCTCAAAAGCGGATAGATACCTCTAACATGACTGTTCCCTCCCCAACCAGCTGACGCTTTAAAAACAGGTTTATGGAATAATAAATTTACAGGACATAAAAATTCACCCATGATAAGTATACAATTCAATGATTTTTTAGTAAATTTAGAGTTGTGCCATCTCCACAAGAACATTTCCATTAGCCAAAATGCTCCTTGCTGACCGTTAGCACTTAACCTCTGTTCCTACCTCCAGTCCTAAGAAACCACTAATTTGCTGTCTTTATAAATTTACCTTTCTGGACATTTCAAATAGATGGAATCATCCACTATGTAGCCTTTTGCATTTGGCTCCTTTCACTGAGGGTGTTTTGGTGGTCCATGTTGCACCATATATCAGTAGTTTGTTCATGTTGCTAAATAGTACTCCACTGCGTGGATATGACACTTTATCCATTCACCAGTTGATAGACATTGACTTTTATGAATAATGCTGCCATAAACGCTCAAGACATGTTTTTGTGTGGGCCTTTTCATTACTTTTGGGTTCTAGGAGTATTAACTGACACATTTTAAGATAAAGTTAACAAACTGCCAAACTTATCCAGAGTGCCTATACCATTTTATATTACAATCAATAAAATAATGTTGGAGGGTTCCAGTTTCTCTACAGCTTCACCAATATTTTGGTTATGAAATGTTGTTATTGTTGCTATAACTTGAATTTCCCTCATAACAAATGATACTGAACATCTCTTCATGTGCTTATTAGCCATTCTTACATCTTTGGTGAAATGTTGAATCAAATCTTTTGTCCAACTTCAAAATGGAATTGCTTATTTTCATATGATTGTTAAAATTCATTACATATTCCATATATAATTCCTTTATTGGATATGGTTTGTAAATATTTTCTCCCAATCTGCAGATTGTCTTTTCACATTCTTAATGGTGTCGAGATGCATAATTTTTTTTTTGACCATTACTACTTTTTCCCTTTATGGATCATACTTTTGTTGTACCTAACGGGAGGTGGTGGGATGGGTGAAAAAGGTGAAGGATTAAGTACAAATTGGCAATCACAAAATGGGGATGTAAAGTAAAACGGAATTAACTACATATGGTGCCAGGTGGGTACTAGATTTATTGGAGTCATCAATTACTTCCTAAGTTATATAATGTCTAATCACTATGTTGTACCGCTGAAACCAATATTGTATGTCAACTGTAACTTTTTAAAAACCAAAAAATTAAAGATATTCAAGAAGCAAGAAAAATCTTTACCTAACTCAAAATCATGAATTTTTCCTAATTTTCTCCCGGAAGGCTTAAAAATTTTAGCTGTTACATTTATGTCTGTGATCCAGTTTGAGCTCATTTTGGGGGTAGAGGTATGGTATGAGGTAAAGGTCTTAAGTTCATTTGAGTGTGTGGCCAGACATACAATTATCCCAGGGCCATTTGTTGAAAAGACTTTTCTCTACTGAATTTCCTTTAGATCTTTGTAAAAAATCAAGTAACATAAATGTAAGGGTTTCTGGACTCTGAATTCTGTTCTATTATTTGTCTATTCCTGTATCAATACCGAACTGTTTTGATTACTGTAGTTGATACAAGTATTCCCACTGGTTGTTTTTTTTTTAATTATTTTGCTACTCAAGACCCTTTGCATTGCCACATACAGCCCATTGTATGATCAGCTTATCAATTTCTATTAAAAAAGGCTGCTGGAATAGGAATTACATTGGATTTATAGATCAATTTGAGAATTGGCATCTTGACAATATCATCTTCCAATACATGAATGTGAAATGCCTCTCCACTTAATAAGATCAGGATTTTCAACCTTGGTGCTATTGACTCATTTAAGGCCAGAAAATTTGTTGCAGAGGGCTGCTCTACATGTTGTAGGTATTTAGCTGTATTCCCGGCCTCTACCCACTAGAGGCCAGTAGCAACTCTCCTGTTAAGTTGTGACAACCAAAAATGTCTACACACATTGTCAAGTATCCTATTTCAACTGTCACCCCTGGTTGAAGACCTCTAATTTAGATCTTCTTTCTTTCAGCAGTATCTTGTAGTTGTACATTGTAAATGTCTTGTACTTTTGTTAAACTTATTCCAAAGTATTGTATTAATTTCAATGCTACTGTGAATAGAACATTCTTAATGGTTTTAAGTTTCTTGTTATAGAAGTGCAAGATGATTTTAACTTTCAGTGTTTACTGTGTCTTAGTATTAATTTGAACCTCACCAAAACTTTAAATACTATGAGCAAGTCAAGCCTGTTCCTGTTTGGCAGGAAGCCAGGCCTAGAGTAAACAGTAAATGAAATGTGAGCCACTGGCTGGTATAGCTCAGTGAATTGAGGGTCAGCTTTCGAACCGAGGGTCACCAGTTTGATCCCCAGTTAGGGCACATGCCTGGGTTGCGGGCCAGGTCTCCAGTTGCATACAAGAGGAAACCCACCGATGTCTCTCTCTTTCTCCTTCTCTTCTCTAAAAGTAAATAAAGTCCTTAAAAAAAGTAAAATAAACTGTTGGGGCTTCAGAAGACCTCAACTTTAAGAAGGCCTGCATCAATTTTAAAAACCACCTCTAGAAGTGAGATGAAGTACTCAAGAATAAAAATCAAAGAACAGAATGCTTATAATTTTTTGAAGAGATTTTTATTTTTAGAGGAAAAGAGAAACATCAATGTGCAAGAGAAACATTGATCAGTTGCCTCTTGTGTGCCCCCAACTGGGGACCTGGCCAGTAACCCAGGCATGTGCCTTGACGAGGAATGGAATCGGTGACCTTTCAGTTTGGGGGTTGATGCCTAACCCACTGAGCCACAGCAATCAGGGCAAATGCTCACACTTAATGCAAGCTTTCTCCAAATAAACGTGGTAGAATTGGGATTGTTTTGAACAAGAGCAGCAAAAAGCCTGGATTTTTTTCATTCCCAATGACGTTGTGTATCTTAACTATATGATCTTATCTGAGGATGCTCCCTGTTTTGTCCCAACTTGGCTCCGCCTCTTTCCAGAAACTTCAAACTGTACCTTAAAAACAAACAAAAAAAAAACCCATAGCTAGCATTCCAGGACACAATCCTACCCTTTTCTTAGTTTAAAAAAAAGCACCCCTAGTTGACAGAATTTTCTATTTTTGGGCTGCGTGTCCTCTATATTGGAATATATTTAAAGATTTTGACTTGTGCCCAGGCCAGGTGATTCAGTTGGTTGGAGTGTCATCCTGTACACCAAAATGGTTGCAGGTTCAATTCCTGGTCCAGGGCACATATCTGGGTTGTGGGTTCAGCCCCTGCTCAGGGTGTGCACAGGAGACAACCAATCCACCTTTGTGTCTCACATCGATGTTTGTCTCTTTCCCCCTTCCTCTTGCTCTAAAATCATGCGAGCATATCCTCAAGTGAGGATTAAAAAAAACTGTGACTTGTAAACACTGTGGTAGTCCAGCACTCTGCATTTCAGAATATCGCCTTTGCTTTCTACCTTTCGTATTCTCTCAACTTACCTTATTTTTTAATGGGTAACACTCATGTTCTTTAGTTCTTAAGTCATTTATCCTGTTTTCATTTACTATCTCCATCACCCATTTACTCTCAGTGACACACATATAAAGCAGCATTTTACATTCACTGAAAAAATAAAGGGAGGAGTTAACTCCAGGTGTGGTCAAAGGGAAAAGGGTAAACATTACCAAAACATGACATGTATCTCACCCGTAAGTGGAACCTAATCAACAAAACCAACCAGCGAGCAAACCAGAACCAGAGACATGGAAATAAAGAACAAACTGACAATGACCAGAAGGAAGTGGGAAAGGGGGATAATGGGGAAAGAAGGGGAAGGGTCAAGCCAAGGAACATGTATAAAGGACCCATGGACAAAGACAAGGATGGGGAGAAGTGAATGTTGGAGGTGGGGGATGGGTAGGGAAGGGGAGAGTAATGGGCAGGGGGAATGGGGACAACTGTAATTGAACATAATAAATAAATAAATGAATGACAGGTAGAGCTTTGTTAATTACCTGCCCAGGTAACTCAGTTGGTTAATGTTGTCCCAAAACACCAAAGTGTGGGTTCAATTCCCAGTCAAGGCACGTACACGAATCAACTAACAAATAAGTGGAACAAGTCGATGTTTCCGTTTCTCTCAAATCTATATATATATATATATATATATATATATATATTTTTTTTTTTAAGGGACCAACTTTCCTGTGGCTGTGGAAAGTGTGCTCTATTTTTGGCAGATGATGCCAGTGGGTAAGGCGAGCAGTTACAGGAGGGCACTGTAAACAACTTCAATTTGATTGCGTAGGCTTTTCAGGCATTAAGAACCATGCAGAATTTTTCAGCAGGGGATCAATTACACAGATTGTTAAGAGAATTCTAGTGCTGTCAAGTATCACTGCTCAGAAAACTGAGGCAGGTGACTAATGTGAACACAGGGGAGAGCAAGATGTGGTGGTATTTATAAATAAAGACTAGAGACAAAGTGGAATGGGTAGAGCAGGAATGAAAGATCCATGAAGGATCAGGTAGATGCTTTCCAATAAAAGAAACTGCAGGTGGAAACGGGAGGAGGCCAAGTTCCATTCTAAACATTTCGAGTTTGAGGCAACAGTGGAGCCTCGAAATGTGGAGATCCACTGCCGACTTGAAACATGGATCTGATGTCAGCATGAAGATGGAAGTTTGAGATGGAGGTCTAGGCCCCATCTAGAGGTTAAATGCCCAGATGTACTTAGAAAGGTCCTAAGGACTAAACCCAGGGAAAACACCACACTTAAGGGACAGGTGAAGAGGCACAGTCAGACATAATTCAAGAACTAGGGATGAGCAGAATCCTGGAAGAGGAATTCAGTACAGGGAAAACACTGATCATCAGTGCCTTACCGATCACCTCCACCAGATAACATGGACTTGCCTCTCCCCACTAGAATGGAAGACGCAGGAGGGCAGGGACTCTGTCACTGCCATATATGCAGTGCCTACAACACTGCCTGCTTCATAGTAGTTGGTCAAATACTTGAGTAAGAGGATAAAGGCTGAGCCTTACATGGTCACTGAACTTGATAATTAGAAGGCACTGATAACATAAACCAGGGCCACTTTCAGGACCCCACCCCCAACCCTCCTATCCCACATAATCAAGAGTACAACTGCCAGAAGACAAAAGAAATGTTCAGACATAGGCATTCCCTCTGAAAACAGGATAAGAATCTTCCAGGTGTAAGGCTCTTCACGCATTTTGATGGACATTCTTCCTAGGCCAACAATGCCATTATAGACTATGAAATAACGAGGGCCTATAAAATCTATATAGAGTATGTGAACATAAAAGTAACTTTAGATTAAAATGAAACTTACGTGTGTTAGGCCAAATGAAGAAATCACCCCATCATTTATGAGTTTTCACATGTGCTTAAAAATTAACATACCTTGATTTTTACAGCACCTTTTCCACCAATTAGTGTTGGTAGATTTCCAACTAGATGTAGATGTTGAAAGATCAGATTACAGAGTGCCAGGTTTCATGATAAAAAGCCCCAAACAGAGCCTTGCAGTTTCTGAGGTAGAATCCCACCGAGACAGGTGAGCGGCTAGGATTTTAAAGTCCTTCATTAGGCCATCACAGCCAAGGTCAGCTTTCTCCTCCCACCAATCAGGCCAAGCAGGACTTCTAAAACATGCATAAAGTGCCTAGCACATAGTAGGTGCTCCGTATGGATTGTACACCTGAATTTTCTTTCAAACCATGAATGCAACAAAAATCCGTATCTTTTCCAGCATTGTTCAGGTCCCCAAGGCTTCTCTCTTCACTGAAACAGTTCTTAAAGATTCCACATCCTTCATGAAGTCTTCTTTACTTCCTCAATAGATGACAGTCCCCTTTAAGACCATCATCTCTAAATATAATGGCTTTTGCAGCTCCTGCTTACTCAAAACTCCACAAAGTATATTTGGTACACGGGTATTTATTCAATGACTTTCTGTATTTAGTCACCACTTAAATCACTGCCAAGCTCTTTTCATATCTATTTGCATCACAGTTCTTCATCTTGGGTTGTGAAGGCAACATTCCAGGGGAGCCTGTTAGCTATGACTTACAATGACTAGCACTGTGTCATAAACAGCTCTGAGTAAATGTCTATAAAGAGGATGAGGATGGAGATGAGGGTCCTGAGTAAGGGCCCAGGCAGGCGGCACAACCCACAGAAACTGAGGCCTGAATAAGGCCTAGGACGTTTTTCCTTCTGGCCTGGAGGATCCATCTATGGGGTGATTCTAAGGCACAGTGGTAAAGGACATGATTGGCCCACCAAGTGTGGTCCTCTGGTCTAGTGGCAGCCCCTCACATGGAAAACAGTGCAACAAGCATTCCATTTAGATCTTCTGGAACACTTGCAAGCAGCATTCTCTAATAGAAATGGAGACAAGGTCTTTCTTAAAAAGAGAATGCCCTAGAAGATATACTCTGCCTCATGACCAACTAGGTAGGTCCCTTTCAAGGTCCCTGAGAGTAGCAGCCTGGGAGCAACCAAGACTTTCAAAGGCTGACAAGGCACAGAGTGGATGAATGAAAAGATAATACATGAAAACAACAACTTTGGCTTATAAAACATCCAACCTGAGCAGGGAGATCAGTGTCCAAACACACAAAAACAGGTATGATTGCAGCAGGCAGTTATCACAAATGCTTTAGCACATTCCATACTGCCCATATCCCAAGTTCTGTTCCTCCCTACCCTGAATTCCACACAACACACACACACACACACACACTCTCTCTCTCTCTCTCCCCCCACCCCCGCCCCATCCCTCCCTCCCTCCATCTGCAGAACAAGTCAGAGGTTGGTGGTTAACATCCAGAGCCTGAATCAAGACAGAACTCTTGGCACTTTGCACTAGGTCACCATGATTAGTCCTATCTAGACAGCACAAGCAACACTGTCTAAACTTGAATGGCAGGGTGTGTCTTGCAAGAGTTAGGCTGCACCCAAGACTGCCAGGTCTGGAAAGTCTTTCACTTCTCCTACTTCGCTGAAAGGCTGTCCGCCCTGGTTGAATGTCAGCTTATACCGTAACCGGATGGGCTCCTGTGCAAAGATATAACATTGTAAATTAGTAAGGAGCAACAGAGAGACAAGCACAAAGTAAAAGCTTTTCCCCATCCAGTAGTCACTAAAGAACAGTGTATTCATGTTAACTCAAGCCAGGTGAGGGCTTGACACAACTGTGACAGAACACCCTGGCCTAGACCCTGGTGAACTAAAACACAAGGGGAGCCTGGCACACATCCTGCAAGTCCTTTCCCATTTGTGCAATCCTAAATCGGACCACTGCTCAGGGACCAGCTGAGGACAACAGACAGGCATCACCCTTTAGGATTCCTCTTATTAGGAAGAGTTTGTATCATCCCCTTGGTTCCCAGCTACGACAATCTGGTCACAGGTCTTCTTTCAATAAGCCTCAGAAGAAAACGTATTCTAGCAGGGACCAACCCACCAGCACTCCCAACCACACCAGACTTCAGAGCAAGATCTCAATATGCCTCTGTCCACCTACCAAGCCGCCACCCCACACAGTTCAAGGCTCTATCTCCCCGTTGTCAAAGATACCAGAACCTACCTTGTGTGGATTGTCGAGTAGCAGCATCTGAGAAATCACAGTTGGAGGCATCAAAGGACTGAATGCTGGGAGCTGCGAGCTGGATGCAGGCTGCAGTTTCACTCTCATTGACTATAGGGGGACGGGGAATTCAACATATAACTCATTCCTAGTAAATGACAGCTAAGAAGGTAGGTGAATAGGAAAGCTTAACTGCACCTGACTCATTGATGACAGGATCCAAAAGACCACTCCTTCCATATACAGAATGCATCTGATATGTGTCAGAGTTTGCTTCTGAGAGGCACATGCTGTGCACAGGTGCATCTTGGGTTGAATTCTAACTCTGCCTCTCACTAGCTCTATGACCTTAGGTGAAATACTTAACCTTTCTGAGCCTTAGACTGGTAATTTATAAAGCAGAAATAACAATAGCACATGCTCCGGCATGATCACCGTAAGGATTAGAAAATGTGTTTCTTTACTTTTGTCTGCCTTGACCTTTCTTATTAGGACATGCCTCTTCCCCATTTCTTGTGATTCTGGTATGGCTGTTACTGTACTGTGGGGTCCTACTCCCATTGAAAAGAGGTAAACCTAATATCCAAACTGGCCAGAGTATCTCGTATCCCTGAACACAAGTTATTGCCAAGGTATGCAAGTAACACCACAGTGCCAATCCCATCCTTTTCTTGGGCAATCAGTCTGCATGTTTCATCCCAGATGAGAGTTTGGTTTTTTTTAATTCCATATTCTGTATTTAATTTAATCTTTTTAAAAAAGTTATAGCTTATATTCAATATTATTTTGTATTAGTTTTAGGTGTATAACATAGGAGAGTTTCTCTCTGAGAGTAAAGGGCTAAGGACCAGGTAATTCTGGAGATGCTCGTACCATTTTTCTCCTTTGTGGAGAGTCTGTCCGAGAACAGGCTCCAAAGAGGAAAGCAAAGTCAGGATATGGGAAGAGACAGACTCTTAAACAATCATGTAAGAACCTACCTGAATCCAGACATTAGGAATCTGCAGTAAAATGAGCCAATAGAGTTCCCATTTTATCTTATGCAACTTTGATTTGCAGGCAGATACTGATTCCACTGAGCCATAACAGCCAGGGCTTATCTTACACAACTTTGAGTGAAGAGTCTGTCTTTACACCTAACTAATAAATAATGTCCCAGCAAAGGACCTGGTGCTCAGAAATGAGAGCCTTTACTGACAAGCTCAAGGAGTCTGACCAGATTCTGCTGGCCAGATGGCTCACCTTTGGCACAGCTACTTGAAACATGATGTCCCAAACAGGCTGAGTGGCAGTGCTCATCATGGTCAGCAGCAGCACCTGCACCTCAGGGTGGCTTGGGGCTCCAGTCTGGGAAAAGTGGAGCAGAATTCGGAATCCATTCCGGTCATACACAATGATCGGAGGTAGGCTGCCTGGTAGAGAAGGGCCAACCAAAAGCGTTAGCACTGCTACAACCTCCAGACAACAAAGCCTGAAGGAGACATGTACATTCTCGCCAAACGCTGTCGCTCCTCTGGTCAGAGCAGCTCTTAGACTTAACCCTCGTCACTACCATAATCCAAGTCCTCATTGCTTCTAGTTGGACACTTATGACCCTCCCACCATCCAACCATCCTAGGCACATTACCAGGTGTTTTTTTAAAATAAGGCCTTTTTTAACAGGAGACATGATTATGATTAAAATGATATATGAACACTATGGAAAATACAGGATATCAAAGAAAATACATAAAAACCACCCTTAATAATTCTACCCAGAAATAAGCACTGCTAACATTTGAGCCTGTGTCTTTTCCCATCTCTTGTGTATGATTACATACATACAACTCCTATATTTAATTTTGCGAAACTGTAAAGATAGCAGATCTCTTCAAATTAATAGGTTTAATGGTATTCCAGCAGAAATCCTAAAATGACTGTTTTAGTGTGGCTAGGAAATGATTCTAAAGCTAATTTGAGGGGCGGGGGAGTCATGAGACTAACCATTAAAAAAAAGGAGGGGAGCTACACTATTTGCATTAACAAATACTCAAATACATACAAAACAGCAATTCAAGCAGAATGATATAAAACAGAGCATGCAGAACAGATCCAAATGTAAGGACTTAATATATTAAGAGCATATATTTCAAAACTGGTGTCTGATTAATAAATAACAGACACCTGGCTAACAATCTGGAAAATAATTTTAATCAATCTTTGTCTCATGCCAACCATCACTTACTAAAATGCAAATATAAAAATACAGTTAAAAATAAATAAAAATATAGTCTAACAATGAAACTGCCAAAGAATCAAAAGACAGAATATCCATGAGGGATCATGGTTGAGAGTATTGGGTTAAGGTAAACTTTCTGGCAGGGAGCTTGACAATGCAGATCAAAAAATGTTTAAATGTCTACACCTATCATTTCTACGTTCAGGAAAGTTTAAAAAAAAAATAGGTGTCCAAAGACTTATAGCACCGTTTTTAACTGGAAACGAATTATCCTTCAGAAAGGAATTGAAGGGAACTAACTGTATGGGAGAACACATTTGCCAATGATACACTGGACAAAGGTTTAATCTCCACAATATATAAAGAAACTCATATGACTCAACACCTGCAAGACAAACAACCCAATTAAAAAATGGGCAAAGGACCTGAATAAACACTTCTCCAAGGAGGACACACACAGGGTCCAGGGACATGAAAGGATGCTCAGCATCACTAGCCATCAGAAATGCAAATTAAAACCACAATGAGATATCACCTCACACCAGTCAGAATGGCTATTATTAATAAAATAACAAACATGTGCTGGTGAGACTGTGGAGAAAAGGGAACCCTGGTCTACTGTCTATGGAAAACAGTATGGAATTTCCTCAAAAAAACTGAAAATGAAACTGCCTTTTGACTCAGCGATTCCACTGCTGGGAATATGCCCTAAGAATCCCGAAACACCAATTCAAAAGAACCTACGCACCCCTATGTTCATAGGGGCACTATTTACAACCGCCAAGTGCTAGAAGCCACCAAAGTGCCCATCAGTAAATGAGTGGATCAAAAAACTGTGATACATGTACACGAGGGAATACTACACAGCAAAAAGAAAGAATGAACTCCTACCTTTTGCTACAGCATGGATGGAACTGGAGAATATTATGCTAAGTGAAATAGGCCAGTTGGTAAAAGACAAATACCATATGATCTCATAAGGGGAATCTAATAAACAAAATAAACTAATGAGCAAAATAGAACCAGAAACATGGAAACATGGAAGAGATTGACAGTGGCCAGGGGTAGGAGGATAATGGTGTAAAGAAGGGGAAGCGACTTAATAAAAAGAACACATATGAATGACCCATGGACAAGGACAATGGTGTGGGGATGGACTGTGGGAGCGGGGGGGTGGGATGGGAAGAGGAGGGAAAGGGGGAAAAATTGGGATAACTGTAATAGAATAACAATAAAAAATAAAATTAAAAAAAGAATTTTGTGGGGCATCACAGTATTAAAAAAAAGTTAAGGAACTGAATAAATGAGTTACCGAGTTATGGTACATCTACTTAGTTGTATTATGTATGAATTCATTTTTTTAAAAAATCAAACTTCTGAAGAACAATTAAAGGGATAAAGAAAGTGCTATGGTTTATATTAGTAAATAAAGCAGGATATAAAACACACTATATATATTAGGGTATCAATTAACTTAAAAATATATGTACACATGTGCCCTAGCTGGTGTGGCTCAATTGGATGGAGCGTCGTCCCGCAAACAGGAAGGTCATGAGTTCAATTCCAGATCATGGCACATGCCTGGGTTGTAGGTTCGATCCTCGGTCAGGTCTGGTACAACAGACAACCAATCAATGTTTCTCTCTCACATTGATTTTTCTCTCCCTCTCTCTTTCCTCCTCTCCCTCTCACTAAAATCAATAAGCATGTCCTTGGGTGAGGATAAATAAATAAGAAACTACATTAAGACATTAACAGAACTTCCATCTCTGGGAGATAATAGTACAGATGATTTTAATTTTCTGGGCTAATTTATCTTTTCTAAAACTTCTAAATTGAACATGTATTTTTGTTTTTGCTTTTTTTTTTTTTTACTTTGTTTTGTAATAATTTCAGATTTATAAAAAGTTACAAAGGTAACAAATAATTCCCATATACCCTTCACCTGGCTTCTTCAAATGTTAACATTTTATAAAACCATAGCACGATTATCAAAATCAAGGAACTAACATTGAACATGGATTATTTTTAAATCAAAAATTAACAAAATAAATGTGCAAAGGGCTCCCACTGCTTACTGACTGTTTACCTTCCTCTGCCTGGTTCCAGGGACCTCTGTAGCCTGAACTCACTACACCGAGCCACAGCAGGGCCCTGTGCCCATAACAGAGGGCCAAGCCCCAGATCTAAAGTGCAGTTGTTTCCTGCTCACATACTAGTACTGGGCATAAGCAGTCACCTTACTTAGCTGGGCTTTCAGTTTCCTTTCCTTTATAAAAGAGGGGTAACATCTACTTTCCTGCCTTACTGAGGATCCCCAGAAGAGGAGAATCACAACTAAATTGTTCCTTTCCTTCTAATTCTGCCTCTTCTGAGTTATTTCAGGTCACACTGAACATTCCCTTATTGAATTCCAAATGAATGATCATGTCCCTAAGCAGACTCAAGCACCCTAATCTTGCCTGCCAATACCCTTCACTGCATCCACCCCAAGACAGAAAAAACTTATCAGGAAAATATTAACTAAAAGACATCAAGTCACCTTCTTACTCTTTGCCCCGAGGCAAAATTTCCACCACTCACCTTCCCCAATTTAAGAGCCATTCCAGAGGGGATAAAGCTGGACATCTAATAGAGAGTGAGGAAAAAAATCAGAATGAAACTGCACTTACTGGGCTTAACAGACTCCAAAGGGACAAACACTTGAGCCAGGGGTGTATTCTGGGAAGATGAAGATGAGGCCAATGGGCCAGCCTCCCAGGACCAACCAGGAGACGACTTAGTACCTGGTGGCACCTCCTTGGGGATATTTTTCTGTGGAATATAATTCCTGCAAAAATAAAAAATTATCAAGACTAGCAAGAATTCCAGGAATATGTAATTAGGATTTCTGAAGAAAAAGAAGGAGGAAAAAAGAAAAATATACATGTGCATATGTACATGTGTATATTTTAGAGGTATATGACTTTATACAAGTAATTTAACGTATGCCTCAGTTTTCTAAGGGTGTCAAAAGAATTAAATGAGAAAAATGTTTGAGAAGCACTTAGGGGAATGTGTGACATAATTAGGACCCAATAAAAGACATCTATTATTATTAAGGTAATTAATGTACCTGTCTGTCAGACAGTCCCTGACAACAGTAGCTCAGTCAGGTTCAGTTTCCCACATCTGATCACCAGGGTGAAGTAAACCAGGAAGATGGTAACACAAGTTACATGAACCACTTCATTCATACTTCTTTATCCTTTTGTCCATTTGCAATATACATTGAAAATGTTTTTGGAAAACTGAAGTCCAGACAGAATTAACTCACCAAAATGAGAATGATGACTGGCCCTATAGAGTTATTAGAGAAAGTAAACTGGAAAAAGCCCCTCTGGGTGCAATAAGTATAACCTCCTGGCACACTACTACCTCTAGAGCACCTTGTTGTCTCTCTCCACCAGAGTCATGTGCACTCAGGCTGTTGAGAGAAGACAAACTGCTCCAATATTTCCAGAGACAAAGGGACAGGATCTAGAGAAATGTATTCATATTCACGGCTTGGAGCACCTCTACTTTTAGGAAATCTGTACTACAACCACTACCCAAGTGCCTCCAAACTCGAAGCTATGTAAAGATCCATAAGAAAATGATTAAATATAGGTATATGTGTATATATGAATTATTATATATAACTATTAGAAAGAATGAGACAAATTTATATAAACTGACATGAAAGCATATTAAAGATATTAACATATCTTAAACATTTTAAGATATAAAGATTTTATAGTGATATAAAAAAACTACACTGGAATAGTTTGTAAATTATGACCTCATTTGTGTAAAAATAAGAGACAGTAACACATAACTACATGTATAGAGAGAAAACAAAGAAGGAACATTCAACATTGTCTTTAGGGGTTGATTTTTGGGACTTTTTATATTAACTGTTCCTCTAGTGATCAAATTTTGCTTCATTTCAAATTAAATCATAATCAGAAAAATAAAAAAACAACCTATACACAATAAAACATCATTATCTACTGCTGCTACTGCTTAAACAAAACCTCCAGAAGTTCTGGCCAAAGTGTGTCTCTTTCTGATTTACAATGGTAGTCAAAGGAGAAGAGGGGAAGCAAAGAAGCCCCTCCAGAGCGAAGAGGCTCTGCCTGCACTTGAGGGTCACCCCAGCCCTGGTGCCATGAGCAAGAACTGCACACAGGAGCCCTCCTCACCCTCTCCTGTCCACAGACTCACAGAGGGCCCGAGGGTGGCTGTGAGGAGAGGAGGTCCAGCAAGGTCCTTTCTGCCGACGGGCTCTGCACACCACCACCTGGCAGTGTGCTAGCAGGATTCCTTTCTTCCTTACAGCAGCTCTGCCCCGCAACCTGCCAAACCAGGAACAGCTAAAATAAGGCCAGGTTCTGACTGGTGCAGCTCAGTTGGTTAGGTGACCATCGCAAAGCTAACAATCGCAAGGTTGGATTCCCAGTCAGGGCACCAAAAATAAATGGACTGATTCATTGATTAAAATAAATATAAAATAAAATAAAGTAATATATAATAATATATAATATATATTATTATAAAAATAATAATATAAATTAATATAAAATAAAATAAAGGACATGAATGACCACAAGCTATAGTGACACTGCAGCACAGCTCTCCTGACCCCACCAAAGACACTGCAGCCCAGGCTGACTTCACTGCCTGAGGCAGGTGGGCAAGAAACAGCAAGAGAACATGACTCCAAGTAGACCTTCAGTAAGCAGAATACTACTGAAGAGGGTAGGGATACAAGAAGAAAAGGATGTCTTCCCCCTGGGGCTTCAAGCCAGACAGTAGAGCTGAGGAAGAGGCTTTGGCTTCTAAGTCTGCAAGTGTCCCCTTAGGCTATGCTGTAGCCCCCTCCTCCCCTAGGCAGCACTGTCCTCAAACTAGGTTCAAGGAACCTCCCCTCCACTCTTCTCTGTGGCCCCTGGGAAGAGCTTCCTTACCTTCTTGGTAACTGGGGCATCGCTGATTCCTACAAGGAAGAAACAGAGAGAGAGGTACACCAGTAACTCTGCCTGATAGGAGCCGGAGAGCAACCCCATGTCCAGCCTTTCTAGAACACTTAGAAAGCCTAGGCAAAGCAAAATAGCCAGTCATTCACCTCATCTGTGGCAGATCTGAGACTAAGTGAAGAAGGGCCTCTCTGAGCTTCCCAATATACACAATTCCCTCTAAAACAGACATGTCCTCCCCAAGGGGAACCAGCTTACATACTCTCCCTGGGAGCCAAGAGCATCCTATACATTGAGTAGCCCCAACCAACCACCCGCACCTAAGGCTGCCAGGTCCTGATGAAGTAGAGACGGTGCTGCTATGGTCGTCCCAGCCAGCTCAGATCCACTGTCCACCTCCAAGTCCATCAGGCAGTTCCTCATGCAGCCCGGTGGATTCTGAAAGACTAGAAACAGATTTAGGAAGGTAAGTCCGTCAGAATGAGAGCCAAGTCTCCACTTAAAAACCTCCCTCAGGCCTCCTTCCAATCAAAAGACATCATATCACTCCACCCTCAACACACCCCCAGAAGAATAACCTCAGGGAAAAGGCCTGACAAACAGCCTGAGCTGGCATCTGGAATGAGGGAGCCAAAGGACTGCCTTCCCATCCGGCAGCCAGAGTCCTCCTCTGACGATCCATCCACCCTGGACATAGCAGAAATGTCTTCTCCAATTCAGAGCCCTTTTGAGGCTTCTGACCACAGCTAATCAGAATCACTTGCAGTGCTTGATAAAAATGCAAACACCCAGGCCTACCTCTAAGAAATCCTGAGTCAGAAGGTCCAAACCAGGGACTACGAGTCTGCATTTTAACCAGTATTACAGATGATTCTGATGCAGCTAGCCTCAGGAACCATCTGAAGAAGATCATTTTCTTGGTTTCCAGCTTCCATAAGTAAGCACTCATGAGAAGTAGAATCTGGGTGCAATATAACCACCAGCCTCTGTTTAGAGCCAAAGCTGGGGTGCAGCCTGTCAGTCGACTCATCAAGGCATGTGTGGCAGTTGCAAGAATGAGAAAGAGGGCAAGTTTTCTCATTTCTATATTATAACCCAAAATATTCTGAGAGTCATTTCTTTTCTGATATTTTCAGGCTGCACCAAGGCAGAGGGCAAGGGGGACGTTCTCTGCACATACCTCTGGAGACAGGTATGTCTCCCACTGTGCTGCTCACTGTGTTCCCAAAGATGACACGGCCCTCCATCACCTGCTTGTACAGCAGAACTCCCTGGGTAAGGAGGTCATTTGCCTGAAGAATCTCCACTGAAGAACGAGAGAAAACTCAGAATCTCCAGGTTTGGCTACCAACAACCTCAGTCTTTTTTAAGCCATTCCACAACACAGCTGTCACATGGCTCTGCCAGGTTCAGTATATCCATGCCCCTTCCACCCAGAGCATGTGATTAAGCCCCTCTATCAGATCTAGTCACTCAGTCCCTGAACCCCACTTCCAGTTCTCAAGACACAGGAGGGCCCTGGCTGGTGTGGCTCAGTGGATTGAGTGCCAGCCTGCAAACAAAAGGTCACCAGTTTGATTCCTGGTCAGGGCACATGCCTGGGTTGCGGGCCAGGTCCCCAGTTGGGAGTGTGTTAAGAGGCAACTGATTGATGCATCACTCACATATCACTGTTTCTCTCCTCCTCTTTCTCCCTCCCTTTCTCTTTCTCTAAAAAATAAATTAATTAAATAAAAGATTTTAAAATATAAATGCCACAATATTTTTAAAAAATATATAGGAGGAACCAAATTTTTTCACCATCTATGCCTGTACTGTTCAACATGATGGCTAACAGTTGAAATATGACTCCATCAACTAAGGAACTAAAATTTTATTTTAATTAATCTAAAATTAAAACAGAAAGTTGTTTTCTCAATGTAGATATGAATATTAAAAAATTTTTGGTACTTTATTCAGTTATTGAAAAGCTTTTAAGTATGAAGGGAACAAATTGGTACATGAATCTAACTTTATGAAATCTAAATACAGATCAAGAATTCCTGAGGAAAATTTAATATCCAAAATAAAGTGTCCTGAAAGTATAAAATATGCCCAGATTTCAAAAACTACACAAGCATCTCATGGTCTGGTTTACCCACAAAAACTCTCTCCTGGGAGAGAGCAAAAAGAACACAGGACCAGCGGCTATGCAGGCCAAAGTGTCAGAAGATTACTCCTCAGCAGTAACCAGCTATTTACTTCCTGTCCCCAACCAGACACCATGGGCCTCCTAAACACCACCTATGAAGTATTCTTGCATTCCCTTGCCCCTAGCCCAATTGAACCTGAATCTGTTCAAGCCCCCGATTCAATTTATAAGAAATATCAGGATTTATAAAAAATATCATGCTAAATACTATGGGAGATGCCATCAGAAAACTGAGACCAAGAGAAACTCTACAAGTGAAAGGATGTGTTTTTTATGTGAAAAGTAAGAAGAGAATGGGGGCTGTCTGCTAAAAGACTTAAGAAATATCAACCAATTTCAAAGTATGGCTTTTCTTTTAAATCTGATTTAGAACAAACTGTTTAAAAAGGAGAGGAGCAAACAGCAAGAGACAGTTAAAGAGCAAAATGGCAGGGAACTCTGAACACAGAATATGTAATTACTTTGAAATGTTTGCAATTTGCTTCAAAACAGAATGGTGGCTGGGGGGAGTGGTACAAAAGAAACAAGATCTAAAGACTGGTCTCAAATCAGTCACTGTTGATAGCTGAAGAGTACATTGGATTTTATTCTACTATTCCTCCTTTTTCATGTGTTTTGATGTTTCAATAAAAAACTTTAAATGTTTTACTACCTTGTTCAGGTATTAAAATTCTCCACTCTCCCTACCACTGTCCCTTCCCCTCCTCATCAGCCTGACTCCATAGGTTACCTACCCAGTCCCTGAAGGCACTCAGATTGGGGGAACCTTCAAGATAACCACTCACAGACATTTTTTGGCCTCTGTGGGATGTCCAGCCTTTCTTCAAGCCATCAGCATCATCTTCTCTTTCTTCTCTTCCCCTTATACTCAATCCATGCTGCATTTCCTCCCCTTCCTATGCTTTCAGACCAGCTGATGCTTTACTCAAGATGAGATTCTTCTAGAAAGCAGTTCTAAGTCAACTTATGCCATGTCCTTCCTGAGCCAGTCCCCATAAACCCTAAAGTCCATTCTGCCTTGTTCCTGGCACCACAGAGGCACAACAGGAAGGAAGGAGCATGCCTGCTTTGCACCTGGGGTGCTACCTGCACCGAGAGAAAAAAGAACCATTACCTAGTGCGTCGTCATCATCAATGGTGTCGCCTGCCAGCCGGAACAGGGTGGGTCGTAGCTTCTCACACCTCTCATACACAGCCTGGGAAATATAGCTTAGTTCACCACACACCCAGGACCCATGGGAAGACCCAAAGGCCTTCCTAAGTAAGCAGCAGGGTCTGGGCCTCAGGAGTTCTCTTTAATTAGCCCCAAATTCATGACTGCAGGTTAGAAGTAACATGGCAGTTATTGTTTCAGAACAGTTTAGGCTACAATTGTGTGGGAATTTTTTTAAGACAATAGTTAAAAGAGTAAAAAGATCTTGGCTCATGAAGAACCCACCATGTCCATGTACAGCATTTTCTTCTTCAAGCTTCTTTCCCCTGCCTCGGCAAGAACAATTTTAGCAATGGATGACCACCTCCTCCCTCCCATGGAAGCCTACAGGACTCCCCATCCACCTGCTGTCTCATGCCAGTATTCCCTTTACAGTAACACTCCTCGCGATGATTCCCCTACCCCCAACATCTGAGAAATCTCATAGCTGGCATCACAGGGAGAGTGCTCCAGACAATTTCACCATCCACATATTGCTGAGGAGATGCAGCTTCTGCACATCTCAACTTCCTTCCCTGCAAGGGAGCTCAATTAACTAACACTCCAGCCTCTCTCCCTGGGGCTGGTGAAATAATATATCCAACAGGCGAGTCTAGGAAAGGAAGCAGAAAGGAGCCCCTTCCTCCTGCTTTGCTCTTCTTCTATGTTCTTTTGTGGGTGTTTGTTTGTTTGTTTGTTTGTTTTTACCACTTTGCTCTTGAGTGCTACCTGCTGATAGTATATGGAAGCCCACATTCAGCTCTGCTCCTTCCTGATCTAAGTGTTAAAGAAGAAACCCCTAATGGGAAAGACAGTGATGTGCCAGCAACATCCTAGGTAGCAGGTAAACCTGCCTGATTCTAGGGTTCAGTATCAGGAAGCTACAGGACAATATTTATATACCACATTTTCCAACATCAGTTTTATCCATTGTAAGGATGAAGTTTTGTTTCCTGCTGCATTTCTCCTACTTCATAGCTGGTTATTATCTTGGCTGAGGAAAAACTGTGCTGTTTAAAAGAGCAACATGACAACCCTCCAGAGGGGCTCTGATACAAGTGAGGCACGTTAATAAAAAAATAGGAAAATTTCCCTGGCTGGTGTGGCTCAATGGATTGAGTGCCAGCCTGCAAACCGAAGAGTCATTGGTTTAATTCCCAGTCAGGGCACATGCCTGGGTTGCAGGCCAGATGCCCAGCTGGGGTCACAAGAGGCAACCACACATTGATGTTTCTCTCCCTCTTTCTTTCTCCCTTCTCCTCTCTCTAAAAATAAATAAATATTTTTTTTTAAATTGGAAAATTTCCTGGCAAGTGGAATGTGGAAAACTGAGACAAATGGCTAAAACAAAGGGCTGGAATGGCTGAGCAATTAACTAACAGCCAGCTAATAAATCACAAGACCCTACCCTCCCTAACTGAAGATGCCTAAGAGCAGATGGTTTAAACCATCATAGGGAGGTAGACAACAAAAACCACATAGATCCACACTAATCCAAGATAGAGATAAAATTGACAAGAAAATGACCTCAGACCCCATTATATGCTCGTTTCAATAGATGAGAGCACACAAAGTGACACACCCCTGAAATCTAAAGAATATTTTCTTGAGACCCTCCCTGGGATCTCCCCTAAAATTCCCACCTACAGAAAACAGATAAAACCCTCAGGACAAAAAACACCAGCTCACGCTCTTCTTTGAAGCATGCTCAAGCCCCACTTTCCTCAGGTGTGTACTCTGCTTCTTCTATCCTAAGCACTAAGGGTTCCTATAAGACTTGCACCCAGGGAAGCAGTGGACAGCAGCAGCTTGTCCTAGGCTCACCCCTGATTCTGTCTTCAAGGATCCTTCTTTTGCCTGACTATCCTAAGCTTTAATAAATTCACTTTCACTTTCACCTGGACTCCTGTCTTAAATTTTTTCTTGCAGGGGTCAAGAACTTGGAGATTGCCTAACATGCAAAAGGTCCTGGATTGTGCCACGGCAGGACCACCCCCGATGCAGAAATGGTGTGGTAACACAACCTCACCACAGATCAGTTTTGCAGTGTCTTCCTGGCCTGGGCTCCCAATCCTTCTGAGCACAATCCCCTCCAGCCACAGAGAAAGACCAGCACAGGTTCCTCTATAACTCTGCCTAATCCCAGTCACAGCTGATTGACCCCAGTAGATAGATACATGAGTCACACTGGCCAAACAGATTTTTCTCTCAGCAATGTGGTATTGGGAAAGACTCGTTCATTTCTGCTAGCCTTGTGAAATGGAAGGACAGGTAAACTTCTGACGGGCCTCTTCTGTGCAGTGATGCATAAAAAGCTAGAATGCAGAGAAGAAGGATGCAGCCCGCAGAGAAGGGCAGCGAGCAGAGCTTCAGACAGACTGAGTGGCCACCCAGCAGGCAGTGGTGTCAGATACGACTTCAGACACCAGGAACAACAACCAAAAAACAGCAAATTCAACTTCAAAATAAAAACTTTTTGCTTCAAAATACAATTAAGACAGTGAAAAGACAGCCCACAGAGTGTGAGAAAAATGTCTGATAAGGGACTTGCATCCAGGATTTAAACAATTCTTGATTGTGACAACGGCTGCACAGATGGACACATCAACACATATCAGGTACACTGTAAGTATGTGCACTTTCTAGTATGTCGGTTATACTCAGTTGCTCTTGAATTTTTTACTTATTTATTTTTATGTTTAGAGAAGAGTACCTGCAGGGCCTCCTGGTCTGGTGGGGCCTGCCCTGGCCTGCGGTACCTGCTCAGCATTTCCTGCAGCACCTTCACATGGCTCCGTACTTCTTCCACAGCACTGACTCTCTTGGACACCTTCTCTGATCGCTCCTGCTCCTGTGGGAAAATGCAGAGGACGGCAGTGAGGGGTAGAGTCCTGGATAAAGCCTGAACAGGGGGTGAGAAGTGGGTACCGCACTGTGCGGAGTGAGCTCAGGGAATTCACTAAACACTGAGTGGAGGAAGTGTTAGCTTATCAGGGGAAGGAAGTCCTCAAAGCCAGGGTTCCTGGGGACGAGAGCTGGGGGCTTGGCAAGCTACTACTTTGTACCATCAGCCATAACTCTCTGAAAAACAGATTCCCAAACCTGGACTCTATCCACACAATACCTGTCACTGAGAAAGTGATGTCTGTGAAATGCTTTGCACTTCTGAAGGGAAGCACTTGAAAAGCACACAGCATGGTCTCTGCTTCCAGTCACCACCACTGCCCCCAGAAAGCCCATGGCTGCTCCCCAGCTCAGACTAGGAGTTCACCTCCACCCCAGATACCGTGGTCACGCGTGTGCGCACACACTGTGCAGCCCCTGTCCAAGCCTGGTTCTGCAGAACCCAATGGAAAACGCCCACCTCCTTGACCAAACTCTTGATCAGCCGGTTCGCAGCCCGCAGATCCTCAGGGTGACTGCTCTTCAGAAGCCTTGACAGAAGCTGAAGGTGAACAGAAACAGAAGGCACTAATCCCCTCAGTGTCAAATGGCCAGTGTGTGGTGTCAGCAATAGGAAAGTTAACACTAATAATAGGAGCTCGTAGAGTTCATATGCATTATCTGACCAAATCCTTGCAATCACACAATCATGCACTATCACTGTCTCCACAGACCACTGATTTCAATGGGGTAGAGAGGCGGAGGATGATATCTGGCAAAGTCTGGAGATACTCTGGTGGTCACAACTGGGGATGCTACTGGCATCTAGTGAGTAAAGGCCAGGGATGCTGTAAATATCCTCAAGTGCACAGAACAGCCCCAACAAGAAAACTATCTTGCCCAAGTGTCAACAGTGCTGAGTCGCCCCAGACCATGGACTCCACATTGTAACAGACCTTGGCGATCTGACTCCCAGTGCCCGGCAGAACACCCGGCACATAGGAGTCCCTCTATCTTTGTTGAATGGATGGCAGGAGAGATGGGGATACTAAGCCCCAGAAAGTATAAGCAGCTTTCCCAAAGTGACTCAGGAATCTCTCTCTCTCAGATGTCTGTGACCTACCTCCTCCCTTGCTCCTTCCACCCTCTGCAACTATAAGGAAACAGCAGGAGAGAAGCCAGAGAGAAAGGCAGCAAAACCTAGCAGAGCCCTGCTTGTCTGCATACAGGGATGGATGGCCACTGAACATCTGGATTCAAGGGGACAAAGGTACAGTTGGAAGGCAATGGGTACCACAGGGAGACACATACAGCCTGGAGCTTTCCTGGCGCGATACCTAACAGAACTTGTTCATGAGCAAGACCAGGAATGACCCAAAGCACTGCCACCACTGCTGCTCTAGGATCATCCCAGGTCTTGGCCTGGGTTTTGACCACCTTCCTTCCCTTCCTTCTCCTTACTGATGTCTGAGGATTCTGGGACTCAGCAGTATAAGAAAAATGGGTGGGAGAGGGCTTACTGGCACTAAAAAGACCTGTACCGACATACGATGGACTATTTCCTCTCCAACATCTTCCCCAATACCATCCACACTAGAGAAAACACCCAGACCTTATGCTACCTCACTCAAAAACCTGCTCCAGAGAGAACTCACTAATCCCCTTACCATGTTCTCCCGCACTTTGGTTCAAGGGCTCAGAAGACATTCCAGGGATATCTGAAGGGAGTCCCTAAAGAAGGGGTCTGATTATATTCCAGGTAGGCCACCAAGGTGAGGGAAGAGTTCCTTACCTTTGACTTTTCTTCATCAGCATCAAAGATGGAACTCTTGGGCCAGGGAGAAGGTGGAGGCAAGATTTTATCCACTGGTAGTTTCGGGTCTTGCTTTATGATTCCTGAAACATGCAATTCATGAAATGACAATACTGTTAAGGGTACCCACTGACTTCAGCAGGATCCCTTATAAACCCTGGTTCCTGATGTCCAGCTAGGAAAACATTGTCAACAGCCTTAATGAACACACTCAGGGTATAATCAGCATCCTCCCTCCAGAGAACCCAGGGAACCAGAACAAAGACATCAGAGCCAACTCAGACCAGAACCAGAGCCTATGGCTAGTGGTCAAAGGATTCCATGCTATAAAAATATTCATCATTTTGTGCAGATACATATCTCAGGGCCCAAAAAGTACAGTGGGATCCCCGACACTCCTAAAAACACTGAGTACAAGTGACAGAGGAAAACAGTCCATCCTGAATCCATTTCCTATCTCTACAGAGCCCAAGGGAAAGGGACCATGGACATCCAGTTTCCACACAGGACACACAAAGGCATGGATAGCATACAAATATGTAACTTTGCAAGTGGATATAGAACCTCTGGGGCTGTCAGTGTCTGCGTCTCTCTGCCTGTCTCTGTCTCTCATGAGACCAGGGACACAATGCCTTCCTAAGACTGAGGCTTAGTCAAAACAGAGAGGATACCACCACCACTGAGTAACAACTAATAATGGACCACCTACTGTTAGGAAAGGCAAGAGAATAAGACCCTCTCTGAGGTACTGACTGAAGAAAGGTTTCATGCTAAGAGTGAAGCAGATACAGAGAAAAACTCTAGCAAATCAGCCCCCACCCTAAACACAAGCTAACACTGGAGGAATCTGAAGCTGGTATAGCAAGGGTAACCACAGCAACAACAATCTCAAACACAGCTCAGCTCCTGCCCACCAGAAGGAAAGGTTTGCCCATTTCCAGATATTGATAATTACTTGTTTCAGTCACCTCTGTCCTATACAAGATATCCAGTTTTCACCAAAAAATTCCAAAGCACGCAAAAAAAGCAAAAAAGAAACACTACTGTGAGAAAGGGAATGCAGTGTAAGTAATGGAGTCAGACCTTGTTTCTTCAGCATCTGATAAGCATCTCGGATCTTAATGTCTTCTGGAAACCAGACTGTCCAACTAAAGAGTATTTCCATGACTCTTCCTTTAACTTTGTCTGTGGTCCAGGACCCCAGGTACTGAAAACAAGCAGGAAAGAAAATTACAGAGCGGGAAGGAATTTAGTAGAGCACCCAGCCCACAGTAGCGCAAAAGAGACAGCTGCTGAGGCCCAGAAAGGCAAAACAGCCCAAGGCTGGTTGACAGCTGAGGCACAGTTAGAGGTCATATCACTGGGCACAAGACTAAAGGCTTTTTCTGGGTTTCAAGGAGTCAAGCTCCAAAACAGGTAAAATTAAAACCCACCATATAATGACCTAGGTTAGAGACAGTGGGAACACTCATTTTTTGACTGGGACGAGTGTAGAATAACAAAAGAGTATATTTGATCTTTGTCTCCAGTTCCTGGCATAGCATTTCAAAAACACTTAGAATATCCTGAGTGATAGGAATCTTTTATTAATTCACAATGAGCCCTCTTGATCCATACCTGAGTTTAAGCTAACCACTCAGGATGGGCACTTAGTTTCAAGGGAGGGACTGACTATGCCAGAAAGACCAACCCTGTGACTAGCTGGTTGGAACCTGCAGCCTTATTCGACCCCCAGTAAGGGAGGGGGGGCGCAGAGTAAGTTCAATCACATGGCCAATGATTTAATCAATCATGTCCACATACTAGAACTCCAGGTAAAAAGTCTGTAACAAGGTTCACAGAGCTAGCTGACTGAACACACAGATGTGCTGGGAGGGTGGTGTGCCTGGATTCCACAAGGAAAGACATGTAAGCTCTGCTCCCCTTCTCCCCAAGACCTTGGCCAATGTATCTCTTCCATTTGTATCCTCTATAATAAGTACAGTGCTTTCCTGTGTTCTTCGAATGTTTCTGTTGAATTATGGAACCTTGTGGAGGTGATCATGGGAACCCCCAAATTTGTAGTTGGTCAGGCAGAAGAACAGTGAGACTCGTGTCTGGTGTTTAAATTTGGCATAGTCTAGGCATGACTGAGTCCTGAACATATAGGATCTGCACTGATTCTGGGTGGTTAGTGTCAGAACTGAACTGAACTAAGATGTAGGACATACCACTGGTATCAAGAGAACAGCTGTTGGGAAGCAACGAGGCTCCCTCCATGTCAGTTACCCAAGAATAGCGAAGCTAAGAGGGGTGCCAGGAAGGCAGGTATGGGGGACAAGGCCATTTTTAAACAAAGAGTAATTTGAGGATGCTAACAGTGAAGGGCAAGGATCAGCAAGGTTGTCCCAAGGTTATGGGAGACCTTGGAAAAGAAAGCTTTCCCATGCAAGGCTTCCTCTCTCAGCTCCTTCACAAACCTGAGACAGGCTGCAGGGTCTGTCCAGGAGCAAGCCTGCGTTTGGAGTTTAAAGGCTAGGTCAAGTGCAGTAAACAGAGCCAAGACCAGTATACTCACCTTTGGGGACAATACTTTGATCAGCTCGTTCAGGAAGCGGAACTTGGCTACCTCGCTGTAGAACTTCTCTCCACAGTGGTTCACACACGTCTCCAACACCTGCACAGACACAGGACTCCCATGAGAATGGGAAAATCACTGGCTCCAGGCTCATCTCAAATCTGATGAGCACTTGCTGGAAGCAGGGATAGTGTTTACTTAAGACTATAAGGACACTTAAGTTTGGGAGAAGGGAGAAAATTTTCAGATTTTTTTTAAAGCACCTATTTGATCTTGCTGTACCTGACAGGTTTGTGCCTAGGAAACAGCTCAGTGAGATATGTACCCTGAGGTCACCCCACCTTTGAAGGAGATCCTTCAGGCAGGTGAATCCCTTACCCTCAGAGACAATATTTGGTATGTAAGGCTTGTGAACTGCTAAGCCAGCAGTACAAAAGTGGGACCTACGCATGTCTTCTTTGGTCCACACTACTGTTTAACATTTCAAATTAAGTCACCAACATCAAACATTCAGAAAATTCATATAAAAAATCTGGATTTATGGTTTCTCCTGAAAAACAGGAAGTTCTTAACAACAATGGGCCCAAACTCACGCCTGGCAATAGCCAGCTGGTGCCACACTGCAGCCACCCTCACTGACTGGGCATGTGCTCTCCAGAATTTTGATCTTTACCCAGTGGCTCGCTCATTTATTCACCAGTCTGGCCCTGTGGGCACTTAATTGCCAGGCCTGGTTTATAAAGAACAAAGGGGGATAAAACCTTCCTTTCCTTCTCCCAAGGCAGGCTCAGTGCTGCTCTCTAGAAACAGACCTCGGATGGGGCAATTGGAGCGCAACCTCCCTGTGGTCTGTTGCCTAATGGCCCGTGAGATGCACCTCTCAGGCTCCCCACCACACTGAAATGGGACTTGGGGCCCAGCTCTCTGGCTTCAGAACAGAAGAGCTGTGGATACAGTCCAAACTCACCGTTAAGGCATAAAGAGCTTCTTTCTCTTGTGGAGACTGGATCTTGTGGGCCAGCAGCCAGGGTGCATGGGTGGGGCTAAGAGGAAACAAGGGCACATGGACTCTGGGTGGACAGGGAAAAACCTAATGATCTGGCTAAGTGTGTTCCATAAAGTCACCTCCCTTCCAGGAGCTCAGGTCCCACAGCAGAGATGGACTGTGACTGGCATGCAGCTCATTCCCAAACCTCTCATGGAGGCCAACCCCCACCTAACTTTCCTGCAACTGCTGCTGTCCAAAGCACATCACCCTCCCCAGCCCACCTACCCTTAAATCTCCAAGCTCAGTAGACATGCCCAGGCCTCTGGGGAGCCAGATAGTGAGCAGCACAGACCCCATCTGTCACCAGATTAAGGCTAGAGTAGACAGTGGGATCAAATTTTGTGCCTATTTCCCAGTGAAAAGTCAGTAATAACGCAGATTAAACATCTGGATTCTTCAGTTCCTATTGAGACACTTTGGAAACAGAATTCAACGCAATTTTGCCTTTTTCCCGCCTCTTCTGAAGAAAGGTTACATTTAAGTTATGGAGAATACACTGATCTATTTCATATTGCTAACTGTATCCATAATATTCAGGTCTCCTGAGTACGAGTGTTTCATAATACTGTTTAAAATTTTAAAAAATAATTGCCAGTTATAAAATGACTATTCTGCTTTTTAAAAAGCCACATGAATTTACTATCTCTATAAAACTAATGTTCTCAGTAGGTTGTGAGAAAAAAAAAAAGCCTAGCTGTTAAACATTCCCAAGAAAAAACGGCATGCACTTAGTCCAAGATGCCCCCAGAGTCAAGCATGACAGTCACCTTACCCATTGGGATCAGTGTTCACCTGGTCACAGAAATTCTGGATAGCTGACCAATCCTGTTCTGACATGCTTGGGTCTGTGGCTTTATCTGCCAAGTAAATAAAAAATAAAATTAAAGAAAGCATACTAAAAAGAAACATAGACCTCTTCCCCCCAAAAATAAATATGACAGCCAAGGTCTGTAACATCACTCCTCTAGGGGATCAGGCAGACGACTGAAAGGAGTAAGACCACACCTGTGCTATCGCCACGTGGGCAGAGTCTCTGGCACATGACATGGCCTCAGTGAATATTTGCTGACTGAATGAACAAGCATATTAGTTGACAAGCTATAGCCCTGAAAGGGGCTCCATTTCCAGTGCAGGGGTTGGCCTCTGAGAGCCTTCTTCACCCTTCTTGTCAGGCAGGACTTTCCCTATAACGACGATGGGCAGGGACCACAGCTATGAGACAGGAGGACAAGAACAAACTGAGGCTCCAGGTGACTCCACTTGGTTGTCCCACCATCTCCTTAAAAGCAAGACCCCTAAATCTAAGCCTCAGCTTACTGAAATCCTTTCTGACCCTCTTATGTAAGAAGCTTCTCTGTGTTTTGGCAGCTTGTCCAAACGACCAAAAGACATCTCCTCGCCTTTACTCTTCATAATGCTGTCCCTCTCTGGTACAGTGCACATTCCCAGAGACCCAGATCCAATCATGCTAGGGTCCTCCATCCAAACACTCATACTTGGATGAAATCTGAGGACACTGGGCATCGAAGGACATAGGGCACAGCCAGGGGCAGGAGGGAGTATCAGAAGCCTGACATAAGACCATGGTCCACTGAGGCAGGGGCAGTGCTCAACCTCCCTGGAATATGGGGTTGGTTGTATCTTTCCCAGCTGGATAGTAGCAACTTACTCTTCTCTTCCTGCTGCTATTGCGGAGAAAACCTGTGACCCGCCCAACATGGATGCCCACCCACATGTCCCCACCCCTAGACTGAACCAGGCCACATTCTCTTACAAAGGAGTTGCTGAGACTTTCTTCATAACACTTTCCCTCCTCCCCACTGTCCAGATCATCGAGGCCTACCAGCCTCTCCAATGAGTATCTTACTGGTCCTGACAGAGAAACTCTTTCAAGCTCTGCAAACTGGCTAATTCTCAGGGTCAGATTTCTGATGTATTCAGAAGTTCAAGAACCATCTGAACTTCTATCTCCTCCCCAAAACCTCCACCCCCACTCTTCCAGCGCCTGTTAACTCTCCTTCCTTCTGATTATTCAAGACTTAATGGCCAAGTAGAGTTTAGCTTTTCCTGACTGCAGTCACATTCATGTCATGTGGAAGTCATGTGTATCTCCAGCGCAACAGTGAAACTTAAAGGACATGTAATCACCCATCTTCTCACCCACAGACTCCACTCTAAATGAAAAAGGAGGTGGTAAAGGAAGCAAGGGAACGGCATTATCAATTTCCATATACCTCTCACCTTTTCCCCCCTTAAAGCTCCTCCCCTATGTTCCATCTCTTAAAATCCTATCTACCCTTCGAGTTCCAATTCAAATGCCTCTTCTTCATAAAGGTGCCCTTGATCTTTTTTTCTCCCACCCCAGAAAACAGATACAGAACCTGTCTGTTACTCCTCTTAGGTCCCACGTTCTACCTGCCCCTCCCCTTTTTAAAAGATTTTATCTACTTATTTTCAGAGAGAGGGGAGGAAGAAAGAAAAATATAGACTAATTGCGTCTCATTCACGCCCAACTGAGGACCTGGCCCACAATTCAGGCATGTGCTCTTGCTAGGCATCTAACTAGAAACCTGCAGGCCGGTGCTCAGTCCACTGAGCCACACCAGACAGGGCTCTACCTGCCCCCTTTTATTATGGAGATCGCTAACTCCATCCTTCATGACTTAACATGTTCTTGGGCTCTCTAAGCCTGTTTCCTCAACTATAAAGTCAGGAAAATACTGTATTTTGACATGTATAACGCAGTTTTTTGCCCCAGTTTTTCAGAGGAAAATAAGGATGTGCATTATACATGGGTAGTACTAACTCCGTATCTATATAAATGTTTTAAATTCTTTTATTTATGCTTACACATTAAAAGTGTAACTCTAGAAAGCAATAATGATATCCATATACAAAGTAATACCCTGGAATATGATAATCAGTTTTGTTTCTAAATGTAAATAAATAAATAATTGAATTAAAAAATTAAAAGATTTTTTTCCCTGAAAGTTTGGGCCAAAAACATGGGTGCACATTATAAACAGCAAACATACAGTAGTGCCTTCCTCAATGGGTAGTCATAAGATTTAAAGATGATAGTGTCTAAAATGATCAGTCCAGCAGCCACTATTAAGTAATCAATAAAGGATCGTTTATCTTTCTTAAAGTACAATCAATACCTTTCTTTTTAAATTCTTTTATTGATTTTTTTATTTCTCTTTTTTTAGAGAGAGAAATATCAGCTTGTATTCCCACTTATTTATGCATTTCTTGTTTGATTCTTGTATGTGCCCTGACCAGGGATCAAACCTGCACCCTTGGCATATCAGCATGATGTTCTAAGTAACTTAGCTACCCAGCTAGGGCAAGAATAGCTAACTTATCATTTATTTTAACTCATAGTCAAGGCCTTTTCCTTTAAAAATATGTACACATTCCTTATTACACCTAAAGGGGATAAAACTCTTAGAGCCAGAAGACATATTCTCCACAGAGCTTAGTACAATGCCTTCCCCATAAGTACAAAATAATTACTCATGAAATAAAGTATTTAAAGCAATGATTCTCAGAAAATCTGATTAAGGGGAGTCTGAGTCATCTAAAATAATTTTATACCATTTATGCTTCATGAGGTTCCAGTTTACTACAAGGTCAAGGCTGACACCTCAAAGGTATTCAGCACTCAAAACATGATGGACCTAAAGGCAGAGAACAGTAGGCAGGCCCCAGCGCACCTGAAGATCGAGCTCTTGGCAGCCTCCCCTGCGGCCAGGTGAAGAGTACCAACAGCTTTTTCAAAAAAAAAAAAAAGGAAAAGAAACTTCTATGAGGCTAAGTCATGTTCCAAACCCTTACCCAAGGACAAGCAGCTGGAAGATCTATAAAGTGTGAGTGTTTCTTTTTCATTTGTATCATGAGGACTCACTCAAGGTTTGTTATAACCCCAAATAACAGTAATAATCACAGCTGCCTTCCTGAAGAACTCACTGTGGACCAGACACCATGCTGAGGGTTTTCCAAGCATGCCTCACCATTTCGCAAGTGAAGAAACTTGCCCAAACACAAAGCTAGAAAATAACAGAAACTATAATTCAGTCCCAGATCTGCTTGACTCTAGGGTCCAAATGTTCCTCACAGTAAAGTGTTCAGTTCCTCGATAAAGGTAGGACATCTTTGGGAACTAGTTTCCTTGCCTTTCTTGCCACTAAGTTATAAACTCCCTAAAGGCAAGAAGGTCTGTTTCATTTACCTTCCAGTAACTCAAACAGTCACTGGCACAGATATTTACTAAGTGAATGATTTACCTTTTACTACACAGTTTAGCCAGTTGACTGGACATAATTGCTGACTCCAGGAGATGGCCATTCCAATTCTGAAATCATGACTCCCAACGCATAATCCCAGACTGCCAGCTACTTCAGAAGCCTAGAGCAGCTCCAGAGTACATGACCCCCAGAGCACAGAGGCTAGGCCTGAATGGGGGCCAAAGCAATTGCCCAGGTTTGCTGATGCCAATCACTCCAAGGAGTAACCTGGGGCCTGAGTGGGCATGGTCAGGGAGAAACTCAGAGAACCCCTAACCTGCCTCTCAGGACCACCACAGCCTCATCAGGGAACTGCGAATGGCTAACCCTGGCACCAAGGTGGTTTATTTAGCTGGCACTTGGGCAGGACAAATAACACTACTACCATAGTTTTGCTAAATAAAAGCAACATTTGTGGGCATTTCAAGTAGGCTACACGGTGAGAGGTATTAAGAAAACTGCTGAGAACTCTAGCTGTGAGTGAAATGGCTCAGCCTAAAGTGACTAACTCAAAAGTAAAATCATCTCCCAGTGGCTGCCATCCAAACACCAGTGTCATGCCTCTGGCCTGCTAGAAGCGGCCTGTGCTATAGGGGAGCCCTGAGGCTGTGCGATAGCAGTCGTCTCAAGAAACATCTGAAATTCAATCTATCAACAGTTTTCACTGCACAGGGGGACCCTTCTGCAGGAGGTGCACACTGAACCCTCCAGTCCAGCAGTCATTTGATAAGTACATGCTAAAGGCCCAAGATCCACCTCAGGGATACCCCGTGCTGGGTTCCATGATAGAGAACGAGCTCAGCCCTCAAGGAGCTCAGAGAATATAAATACATGTAATCCAAACTTTCCTGATCCCCAAGGGAGGCATAAAAGTGGGGTTGGGGGAAAGCCAGGACATACCACCTGGAAGTAAGTCCAGGAGGAAGGGATTCACTGAGCACTAGACTGGAAACTACTGCCTCCCTAGGCGCACTACCAGGGTTAGAATCCCAGAAACCCAGAGAGCTGGTCTGCTTTTAATAGCAGGAGGCAGGCAACAACCTAATGTCCACTACCAGGACCTGGTTAGCCAAACTATAGTACACCCACACAATGGGGTGTATGAGACGTTCCATTAACAGGAACGAGGCAGTTACATATTCAGTCATGTGAAACACTGACCAAAATAATCCAAGTGTGGGAAAAGCTCTAGAATGCACAGAAGTTGCTTTGTGTATTTTTAAAGGAGGAGCTCCTGATAATAGCTTCCTAATGATCCTTTGGGGAACTATTCCACCCCAATTCCAAGGCCAATGTTTTTCCCTTTTTTTCCCCCAGTAATACTATATGAGTTAGTTTTCTGCCACTCGCAACTAGAAAGACTAATGATAATAACAGATATCACTTATTATGTGCCAGGCACTATTGTAAGTGCTTCATATGTATTAATTCCTTTGATCCTTATGATCTAAGAGGGACGTGTTTTTACTATTACTCCCCTCTTGAAAACATAGCTGCCTTGCTTGATGAGGCACGGTCTGTCAATGACCCGACAGCAGCAGTCCTCAGACCTCACCTATAGTGACTTCCTTTCCATCCAGCCTAGACTCATAATGCAAACCTTCAACAACACTGCTCTCCTTGCTGTATCAACCTCTCTACCGGTTCGTCCTTGGTTCGTCCTTCCGCCGTACACCTGCAGTGCCCCACCCACATTCCCCAGCAAATCTGGTTTAACCATAGCTCACCTTCTCTGCTCCTCGGATGAGGGGCCAGCAGGAGGGATCACAGGATCTCAGGTTGGGAGGGGAGAGGTGATCCTGCCCCTCTCTCCCAAGGGACATCTGGCAATGCCTGGAAACATTTTTGGTTGACTGGGAAGACGGTGTGTTATTGGTATCCCAGGGATTCCACTAAATAGCTATAGTGCACAGTACAGGCTCCCACAACACAGAATTATCTGGCCCAAAATGTGCTAAGATTGAGAAACCTTGTTCCCAAGTGTCCAGGTGGGCTCTCTTCTGTTTCTCTTACGAGCCATTCCTAAACATCCCTGCCTCCTTCAAACCCCCTCAGCCCTTGATACTAACTGGGGGGTAGGGGAGGTTGTTACTAACAAGCTTATTTGCATGTACATTGTCTTTTCCCCTCTCCCAGGCACTCAGAAAAACAAAAGGTGCCTGTCCTCTCTGTCACCACTTTGTGCTGTAGCTCTAACCTTCAGCACCTTTAAGCCCCTCTCCAGTGACTTGAACATCGGACCTAGAATTCAGGAGGGATAGTTCCCCCAAAGAAACATCAAGTAGAAACATCAAATTAACACTGGTGTCCCTCTCCTTTTAAGCCCTCCTTTACTTCTGAATTCCCCCTCACTACTCTCTCCTCCATGTCATATTCAAATAAATGTTAAATTTATTATTCAATTCATATTCAAATTTATTTTAAAATAAATAAATAGCCCTGGCTGGTGTGGCTCAGTGGATTGAGTGCTGGCCTGCGAACCAAAGGGTCACTTGGTTCCATTCACAGTCAGGGCACATGCCTGTGTTGCGGACTAGGTCCCCGGTGAGGGGGCACGTGAGAGGCAACCACACATTGATGCTTCTCTTCCTCCTTTCTCCTCTCTCTAAAAATAAATAAATAAAAGGTGGGGTTTTTTTTAATAAATAAAATATTTACTGAAAAAAATAATAATAAAAGCTTTACTCAAAAAAGGAGGGGGGACTGGTGGCCAGAGGTTATACCTTCCCACAGATTAATTCTGCCTGGCCTGCATTAAACAAACTTTGTATTTCAAAGTACTTCTCAGCTTTTAAAAACTCAAAAGATTTCACATAAAAATGCAGGTTCTAGCCCTATGTGAAAAATTGAAAGATCGAACAACTTTGGGACTCCATAGGCCTAAAACAGCTGGAGCTGAAGAACTGCCTTGGGCAGTCACATTCCCTCTTATCTCCTCCACCAGGGTCAGTGGGTCAGCACTTACTGTCCTCTAACCCCCACTTGACCTTTCTGTGACTCCTGCCTAAGCCTACAGTTCTCCATTGCCTCCTAATACCTTCATTCCCACCATTTGGTAACTCCCAGCTTCCATCTCCCCCAACCCCCTTGTCTGCTTCTCCTTCCATCTTCAGGCTGCTTATCCTATCTGCTTCTTAAATGATGAGGTTCTTCACGCTCCATCTGCAAGTCTCTGCACAAGCTCACTGCCTGTGAAATAAATCCCAAACTGACCTGCAGCTCTTATCCAATCCGGGGCTGACTACCTACCTAGACAGCCTCTCTCCAACTATGCCAAAAGCACCTCCAACTCCACAACTCAAATGTCCTCTCTTCCCTAAACTAGCTCCTCCTCACAGGTGAAGCATCTGTAACCAACCAGTTATCAGAGCCTGAAACCTGGGATCCATCCTAGATTCCTCCAGGTCTCTTGCCTCCATTCTAGAGCATCAAGGCTGTTTGTGACTACTAATTATTTCTACTTTCCATCCCAAAGCCTTTGCCCGACGTGAGCTGCTCAGCGCCACCAAAAGAGCTTTTAATCGCTCCCTCCCTAACCAATTCAGCTCCACAGGGTTGCTGATGATGCTTTTAACAGGGCGTAGCTGATCAAATTCTCAGGCTGAAACTCCCACACCCTTGCCCCCACACCCTGGACAGCATACAAGCCCCTTAAACAGCTGGTCCCAGCTAGCCGTGAATTTTTTTCAGACTGCAGGTTTTGCACTGCAGCAGTACTGACCTACTCGTTCCCAGAACGCTCCAGCCTCCAGTCTCCCAGCTTTTCCACATGCAGTTTCCTCTCTGAAATGCTGTCGCCTCCACTGCCCACTCAAGTGTTATGTCCGCTGAGACAGACCCCAGAAAAACAAACCAAATCCTACTACCACGCGTTAAACAAACGCGCCCATCTGCCCATTATAATAACAAGCTGCTGTTTTTGTTTTTTGCAGGCTTGGACCCACTACAAACTGTCTTTGGGAGCGAGGACCCCGTGTTTGGCATTTCTGTGCCCAGCACCTAGCATATCCCAATACAAGGAGGGCATTCCTTATCCTCTCTCTCAACTCCTCCTCGGTAACACGGGGGCAGTAACTCCCCTACCCCCCATGACTGGTATCAAGCTTACAGGACGCGAGAAGCAGTGCGGCCATTGTGAACACACGCACACAGAAAAAAAGGATTTGCTTTGACGTGAAAGACGGCAGCAGAGACCCTTCCCAACTCCCGAGAGCGGAAGAGGGTGTGCATTTCGCAAGACTGAGTCTCCTGAAGCCTAAACGTCCCCATTTCTAAAACCGTGTGAACGACGGGAGCCGTCTCTCGGGATCTTACTGATGATTTAAAACGGCTCAGGTCAGTGGTTGGCACAGTGCCGGGCACTAAAGAAAGGCGCAATAAACGTTAGTCATTCCGTGAAAGCTTCAGCACCTGGCCTGGAGAGTGGGGATAAGCGGAGCGCCCGCTGCCCCGCGGACTCCAGGGGCTCCTCTCGGGGCCTAGACCCCCGCCCCAGCCAGTCTCAGAGGAAAGGCGCAAGGAAGCGGAAAGCCAGGCCTCACGTGCGGCGCTGGGCCCGCCTCCAGGGTCGGCCCAGCTACTCACTGAGCCACAGCTCCAGCGCTGCCGCCCGCCCTGGGGGCCCCTCGGCGGACTGGGCCTCCGCCCCCGCCGCTGCCGCTGCCGCTGCCGCCGCCGCCGCCGCCGCCGCCATGCGATAGGAACCGCTACCGAACGCGCGGCCTCGCCAGAGCTCGGCCGTCACCGACTGGCCTGCTCCTGACGCCGACGCTGCAGGCGTGGGGCCGCACGTGATGAGGCGGGGCCTGGTGCGGGCACGCCCACCAGCTAGACCGCCGCTACTGCGCGGGCGCTGGGTTGAGGCCCAGCATCACCTAGGTTCGCCCCAACACCTAGCCAAGAGTTGAAGAGGGCCAAAGCCCATCTAGCCAAACTTGCAGGGCCTGCGCCCTATGGTCCTTCAGAAGTGGGCTTGACGGATAAAACACGAGACGTGCCTAGTTAAATCTGAAATTCAGGTAACGAATAATTCTTTTAGCACTTTTATTCAGGAGGGGTTTTCCTGACATCCTTCCCTAGAATGACACGCCCCACTCCCCTTGCTCTGCTTTAGTGCCTCTATAACCCATTACACTATCAACTAGATGTTTACTTGCTTATTTTGTTAAGGGATAATTGCCCCCCTCCCCCCCAAAAAGAGTCATAGTTCTCATGCACTATAAAATGAACATGTGTTAGATATATTTTCATTAACTTTAATTAAATGCAGGAACCAAGATGTTATAATCCGTTCAACAGAGAAGTCAAAGGGGCAAATTTATACGGAATAAAAGAATGTTGTAACAGATGAGCAAGTGGGCACAAAACAGCTCTTCTACCAACAGGGTAGAACAGCAGGGTTGTTCATCCAGCAGACAGAATTAATTTCCTTGTCTCTCCCTAGCAGGTGTGGCTTAGTGGATAGAGCACCAGTCTGAATCAAAAGATCCCGATTGATTCCTGGTCAGGTGCTAGAGGCAACCAATAGAATGTTTCTCTCCTTCCCTTTATCCCTCCCTTCCCTCTCTCTAAAATAAATAAAATCTTTAAAAATAAAGATTGTTTGTCTAGTTATCAGTTACCTACAACTACGGAGTTACGAGACATCTCTGAGAAAGTGAAAGGCTAGGGAGTTGAATGACATGCCCAGTACACAAGTGCCAGTATTTGCTGAACGGCCAAGTGAACAGTGGAAGCAATAAGAGGTAGCTGTGGGACTTCGGGTCCCATCCCTACCTCAAATAAAGACACACATTTGCTGTGCTATCTCAGCTCCAAAATAAGTCTAGCCATACATATCTCCATTTGGCAGATTGCCACCCAAACCATCCTTTTATACAGAAATTATTATGGAACTGCTGCTGAATAACAAGTAACCGAGCTGCTTACAATGTGCCAGATTCTGAGCTAAACCTTTTACAGTTTTGTTAGTAAACTTGGATGGCTATAACAAAATACTATAGACTGGGTGGCCCAAAACACATTTACTTCTCACAGGTCAGGAGGCTAAAAGTCAAAGATCAAGGTCCTGCAGATGCGGCTCTATTTTGCAGAGGACTAGCTGCCTTCTTGCTCTGTGCTCACCAGGTGGAGAGAGAGTGCTGGTACCTTTGCCCACCGCCCTTGAAATTATGGCTCTCAATGGCAGAGTTTGGTGAAAAGGAAAGGAATTTTTTATTCAAAAGTTATACAGGTTTTAATTAATGGCTAAATGTTGCCCTTAAATCTCAAAGTCCCTTTAAAACACCCACCATTTAAACCTCCCACCACCACACACAGTCCTGCCTTCCCCCCTTTTCCCAGTCATGCCAGTCAGGCCAGTCAGGGGTACCCATCCTTCAGAAGAAAAAGAACAGAAGTCCAGGGCTTAGCTAGGCAGGTCTCTCATGGTTCCCAGTACCATCAGCTATGTTGCCACGATTTCCAGTTCTTACTCCAAAACCATGTGGCACCTTTTCATAACCCACTAGCAAGAGTCCTTTCTCCCCTTTTCTTCCTGCTGGTCTTCGCATTGTTCCCCAGAGTCTGTGCTCCTTTGTCTCTCCTGCAGGCCCTGTCTCTCCTCTCCCAGTCACATTCTGCGTGAAAAGTTTTTCAAACCTTCCTGGTTAGCCTTGTTGAGATGCAAAATAACTGCCTTGCATGTGAGGTCTGAAGCTACCCTGTTATTGACATGCAAAAAGCCTCTCCAAGGCCCACCTCCACTTCAGGTATGAAGCGGGCCTGTACTGACACACAAAGTAACTCTCAATGGCCCTGCTCAATGTCTCCCATCCCCCATGGCGGCCCGTCTTGGGGTGGGGAGAGAATATCTAATATTTTTCTTGGACACCCCAATTTCTAGACCCCATTACAAATACCCTTGGGGGGGGCCCTGGCTGTGCCCCGTTACAGTTAGAGTTTCAACATATGGACTTTAAGAGGAAACATTCAGTCCATAACACTATTCACTAGGGAACATTTTGTATTTCAGTGAAAACTGTCAATAGCACACCCTTCTGTAATCTGATTGTGATTCTTGGGAATTACTTTACATCTTTGTAAATGGTATATAACTGAATGCTATGGAAATCATTCTTATCTAATGACATGCAAATGAATTGTCCCAGGAGGACACACCCCTCTCCCTGTGAAAAACAAGTTTTGCCTCCATTTGCTTATTCATTTTGTTATCCCTGATCTATAAATGTGTCTGTTCTTTGGATTCCCCTTGGAGTGTGTTGTAACATCTCACCAGTTTCTTCATTCATGAGTTAAATAAAATCTTTAACACATATTTATTTGTCTCTAGAAAATTCTGTCAACATAAGAAACATCAAAACCTATAAGAATTTTTGAGGAGCTTATTTGAGCCAAACTGATGACAATTACCAGGAGGCAAAATCTCAACAGATTGAGAAAATGCTTCAGAAAATGGCAGTCTTGAACCTTATTTTATACATTACAATCAAAAGAGAAGGCATAAGGAGGGTCATATGAAATCCACTGGTGATAGATTAGGAAGGTGGGGGAAAGCAAAATTGGGGGGCGGAGGATGTGGGATTAGATAAAAAGTGAAATGTGCCCTGCCCAGTGTGGTTCAGTTGGTTAGAGCTTTGTCACGTTACCAAAAGTTGAGGGTTCAATACCTGGTCAGGGTACATACCTAGGTTGCAGGTTTGGTCCCCAGTCCAGGCATGTACGATCCTCGGTCCAGGGCTCAAAGGGAGGCAACTGGTAGATGTTTCTTTCTCTCCCTTCCCCACACTCTAAAAGCAATGAAAAAAATGTCCAGGGGAGAATACAGAAAAAAAGTAAAATGATAGACACATGCTTCCTTTACATTGGTGGGTACAGGGGAGTTAAAGTCAACAGTTAATAAAATAACAGTAATAATGAGGGGGTTTGTGGTTGTGCCAGAAGGATTCAGAAAAAGGGAAGTTACTTATGAAATGGGGTATTGAGCTAGAGGTCCCCCAAAATGGAAAAGTCCCCACTAACCTGGCTTAGGAGATAGGAAAGCTTACCACCCTCGGTGAGAAGTAGAAAACCCCAGGAGAGGCAGGAGGCTCCACAAGACATAGGGAGTTCAGAGTGAATATTTAAACTAAGCACAGCAGCCATTCACGCTCTTGGCCATGCAGGTTGAAAAGATGCAGAAGGACTTCCACATGGAGGTGCCACACAGTTCTGGACTAAGAGCTGGAGAACGCATCGACATGGCTCATGGTGCTGGGGATTGAGGGACCTGCCTAGCCAAGCACAGATTACTGGGAGAAGCCAGAAATGCTGAGCTGAGACTGGAGGAATGCTGAGCTGAGGACTTTGAGTTGTTGTTGTCGTTGTTGTTTTCCTGAAAGAAAGTACCTCTGACTGGCATATTCTGAAAACTGGCCTGATTTTACAAAAGGGAGGCAGGAGTGTGTGGGGGGGGGGGCTGGCTGGGGCATGGGGGAGGGGAGGTTGTATTTTAAGGGGATTGGGACTTAATGGCAGAATTTTGCCATTATTCTAAATCTGTATAACTGTTAAATAAACACTTTCTTTCCTTTTTGCCTAACTCTGGCATTGGAAGTTACATTTTCAGTGACGGACAAAAGAACCCCAAATTTGTTCCCGAACCGCATAGTCTGATATTCTGTTACAGTTCTTGGTGCCCAATGCATGGCTTTGATAATTGTCTGTGGCGGGCTGAACCCCTCAGGAGTGAGACAGCAAGACTCTGGAATTTCCCAATCTCCAAGAATTTCTCTGCTTCCTGAGGGCATCGGCCACCTAAACATGCCTGGAAGGTAAAAAGGAAATGGATCATGGATCTGGGAAGGGATTGGAGAAGTGAGATTGTTTGGTTGAAAATTTGTTTCTGAGCACTGTTTTGGAATAATGGAGTTGGAATTGAGGACAATAGTTTGGGGTATATGCAGCTTCCACATGGTCTGTATTTTCCTTGTGATGGCTTTTTGCATGTGCTACTGAAACAATAAGAGCAGTTAGGGAGTTTGGGCTGGACCCTAGGGAGAGCCTGCTGGGTAGAATTTTAGGGGATTGGAAGATTTACTGCTGTAATCCGATGTCTAAGAATCGTATGTCTAAAGAGACATTGGTTCATTACTGTAACACTGTTTGGCCTAAGTATGTTTTGAATGGTGAGGAAAGGTGGCCTGTGGATGGTTCCCTAAATTACTGCATCATTAAGCAATTGAAACAGCATTGCCAACAGTCAGAAAACTGGGAAGAACTCTGCCATCTTGATGCATTTATGTCATTGCATAATAGGATTTCACCAGGGACAGAGAACCACTTCATGGTAAAGAGAAGGGAAGTGGCCTCAAAATCTCTCTCTCATAGTAAGACACAGGAAGAAAAGGAAAATAAGGAGATAAGTCTCATTAATGCCCTGTACCCAGGGAACTCAGGGTTGGTAGCAGGAAGACCTCCGCTGTCACCAACCTCTCCACTATTACCCCTAAAGTAGGGTTCACAGAGGCAATGACTCCACCCCTGTATGGCAAGATATGGGTTTCCCCCTCAAAGACCCATCAGGGCACCCAGTTTGGCCAGGGAGCATCCCTATCTGGAACAAAAACAT